TTCTTTGAGGTCGTTTATTTGAGATTTTTTCCCTCAAGGTAGCCATTTATTACTATTACCTTCCCTCTCAAAACTGCTTTTGCTGCATCCCATAAGTTTTGGTATGTTGTGTTTCCCTTTGTGTTTGTTTCATGATTTTTTAAATTTCATTTTTGACCCACAGGTTGTTCAGGAGTGTGTTGTTTAATTTCCACATATCTGAATTTTCCAGTTTTCCTTCTATTAACTAATTTCTAGTTTCATACCATTTTGCTCAGAGGAAATACTTGGCATGATTTCAGTATTTTAAAATTTGCTGAGACTTGTTTTGTGACCCAACATAGGCTCTGTCCTGGAGAATGTACCATGTGCACTTGAGAAGAATGTGTATTTTGTTGCTTTTGGATGGAATGTTCTGTTAGGTCCATTTGTTCTAAAGTATAGTTCGAGTCCAATGTTTACATATGGATTTTCTGTCTGGGTGATCTATCCATTGTTGAAAGAGGGGCATTGAAGTCCCCTACTATTACTGTATTGTTGTCTATTTCTCCCTTCAGATCCACTAGTATTTGCTTAATATATCTAGGAGCTGTGACAGTGGATGTGTGTATATTTATAATTGTTATATCCTCTTGATGAGTTGACCACTATATCATTATGTGACAACTTTCTTTGTCTCTTGTTACAGTGTTTTTACTTAAAGTCTATTTTTTTCCTGATATAAGTATAGCTATTCTTGCTTTCTTTTGGTTCCCATTTGTGTGGAATATCTTTTCCCAACCCTTCACTTTGTTCCTATATGTGCCCTTGTAGCTGAAGTGAGTCTTTTGTAGGCAGCATATAGTTGGATCTTGTTTTTTATGCATTCAGCTATTCTGTGCCTTTTTAACTCATTTACGTTTAAAGTAATTACCACCATGTAAGAACTTATTATTGCCATCTTGTTAATTGTTTTCTGGCTGTCTCGTAGTCCCTTTCTTCCTCTCCACTGTCTTCATTTATGAATTGATGATTTTCCATAGTGGTATACAGGCATACCTTGTATTATTGTGTTTTGCTTTATTGTACTTTGCAGATATTGTATTTTTTAACAAATTGAAGGTTTGTGGCAACCATCCATCAAGCAAGTCTGTTGGTGCCATTTTTCCAACAGCATTTGCTCACTTCATGTCTCTGTGTCACACTTTGGTACATCTTGCAATATTTCAAACTTTTTCATTATCATTATTTATTATGGTGATCTGTGATCCGTGATCTTTGATGTTACTATTGTAATTATTTTGGGGATGCCATGAACTGCACCCATATAAGACAGCAAACTTAATCAATAAATGTTGTATGTGTTCTGACTTCTCCACCCACCAGCCATTCTCCCATCTCTCTCCCTTTCCTCTGGCCTCCCTATTCCCTGATTCAACAATGTTGGAATCAGGCCAATTAATAACCCTACAGTAACCTCTAAGTTCAAGTGAAAAGAAGAGTCACACGTCTCTTACTTTAAATCAGAAGGTGAAAATGATTAAGCTTAGTGAGGAAGGCATGTCAAAAGTTGAAATAGGCTGAAAGCTAGGCCTCTTGCACTGAACAGTTAGCCAAGTTGTGAATGCAAATTAAAAGTGCTATTTCAGTGAACACATGAATGATAAGAAAGAGAAACAGGGCCGGCCGAGTGGTATGTTGGTTAAGAGTTGGCTTGGGACTCCAACTGAGCAGCAGGGCCCCGGTTCGGATCCCACATGAAGGCCAGTGACACTGCGCCCTCTACAGCTAAGATGGTGAACAACAGCTCAACCTGGAGCTGGGCTGCTGTGAGTCGCCAGTGAAGGCATAGGCTGCAGTAGAGCTGGCCGGCAGCTGGCATGAGCTTTTGTGAGCTGCTGTGAGCCACCATTAGCGGCCCATCCAATGGCCAGCGAGCGACTGCCTGACCAGGGAAGAGCACAATGATAATACCAACGTGGGCCAGTGAAGCAACGTCCTCCACAACTAGACAGAAGAACAAAAGGACAGCAACTTGTCTGTTCCCCTTCCCCGATTCCCCAACACTGTTCCCCTCCCTCAATTCCCCACTAAAATCTTTTTTTTAAAAGCGAAATAGCTTTATTGCTAATAGAGAGAAAGTTTTAATGGTATGGCTAGAAGATTAAACCAACTGCAACATTCTCTTAAGCCAAAGCCTAATCCAGAGCAAGGTCCTAACTCTCCTTAATTCTGTGAAGGCTGAGAGAGGTGAAAAGCTGTAGAATAAAAGTTTGAAGCTAGCAGAGGTTGGTTCATGAGGTTTAAGGAAAGACACTGCCTCCATAACATAAAAGTACAAGGTGCAGCCGTAGGTGCTGATGTAGAAGCTACAGCAAGTGATTCAGAGGATGTAGCTAAGATAATTAATTAATGAGGTGGATACATTAAACATCAGATTTTCAATGTAGACAAAACAGTCTTTTAGTGGAAGAAGATGCCACCTGGGACTTTCATAGCTAAAGAGAAGTCAATGCCTGGCTTCTAAGGACAGGCTGACTCTCTTGTTAGGGGCTAAGGCAGCTGGTGACTTTAAGTTGAAACCATTTACCATTCCCAAAATTCTGAGGCCCTTAAGAAGATTTATGGTAAATCTATTCTGCCTGTGCTCTATAAATGGAACAACAAAGCCTGATGACAGCATATCTGTTTACAACATGGTTTACTGAATATTTTAAGCCCACTGTTGAGACCTACTGCACACACAAAAAGATTCCTTTCAAAATATTACTGCTTACTGGCAATGTACCTGGTCATCCAAGAGCTCTGATGGAGATGTACAAGGAGATTAATGTTGGTTTCATGGCTACTAGCACAACATCCTTCTGCAACCCATGGGCCAAGGAGTAATTTTGACTTTCAAGTCTTATTATTTAATAAATACATTTTGTAAGTCTGTCGTTGCTATGGTTAGTGATTCCTCTTATGGATCTGGGCAACGTAAATTGAAAAGCTGGAAAGGATTCACTATTCCTAATGCCATTAACATTCATGTTTCATGGGAAGAGTAAAAATACCAACATTAACAAGAGTTGAGAAGAAGTTGATTCCAACCTTCATGGATGACTTTGAGAGGTTTAAGACTTCAGTGGAGGACGTAACTACAGATGTGGAAAAAGCAAGAGAACTAGAATTAGAAGTGGAGCCTGAAGATGTGACTGAATTGCTGCAATCTCATGATAAAACTTTAATAGATGAGGAGTTCCTTTTTATCGACGAGCAAAGAAAGTGGTTTCTTGATATGGAATCTACTCCTGGTAAAGATGCTGTGAAGATTGTTGAAATGACAAGGGCTTTAGAATATTACATAAGCTTAGTTGATAAAGCAGCAGCAGGGTTTGAAAAGAGTTCTATTGTGGGTAAAATGCTATCAAACAGCATTACATGCTACAGAGAAATCATTCATGAAAGGGTCAATTGATGCAGCAAACTTCATGTTGTCTCGTTTAAGAAGTTGCCACATCCACCCCAACCTTCAGCAATCACCACACTGATCAGTCAGCAGTCATCAACACTGAGGCAAGAGCCTCCCCCAGTCAAAAGATTATGACACATTGAAGGCTCAGATGATGGTTAGCGTTTTTAGCAATAAAGTATTTTTTTAATTAAGGTATGTACAGTAGCTTTTTTAGACATAATGCTATTATTGCACACTTAATAGAATACAGCATAGTGTGAACATAAGTTTTATATGCATTTGGGAAACCAAAACATTTGTATGACTCACTTTATTGTGATATTAGCTTTATTGTGCTGGTCTAGAACTGAACCTGCAGTATCTTCTAGGTATGCCTATACTGGTAAAGATGGGGAAATACCTGCTTCAACACATTTTAATCTGAGTAAAGGTTTTTATTTTGCAATTTGCTAAAGGTCAGAGACATGAAATGTAAGAGGCACATTTCACATTAATTAAGATTCTTTGGAGGGAAGATTTCCTCTTTGATAGTCATTGTTCTCTTTCTTCTGTTACTAATCCAATCCCTTACCATCACCACCAACAAAAAGAGAGAGGAAAAAAACCTGCAGATGAAACTAGCATTTTAAAACAATTCCAAATAGATTTATACCATCAAATGCTTTAAGCCACGGGAGAACTGGAATATTACTGTGATATAGTAACATGTACTCTATTATGGGTAATTATGCAAATTTAGAGTATTATGAACCAAATATAAATGTAAACACTAAAAGCTTGATTAGAGCATAAGGCTATAAAATATGCCATGAAGGAATGAATCCATGTTTGTTCCAGCCAACCTGGTATTTTGTCTCTACCAGAAGTACCTAAAAAATGTTTAGCAGAGTCTGATTTCCTGTCCTTGTAACAGTTGTGAAAGATTAGAGATTTCACCCCCAATTCCGGGTTTCCTTGACCATAATGTATCTATTATTAATTTATTTAAACTTTTAAAACTTGTAAATAACTTATGACTAAACCCCTATTAGTATTATAAAAATTTTATTTTTTACTACCTGACATGGTAATTAGTATTTCATTTTGTTTGTCTAAGTTTACAATAATTTTCAAGCTCCTGCAGGTGTTTGCAGTTCTCATATTCTCCAGTTTTGTAAATAATCTATGTTCAACTTACTTATACTTCGTGAGTTGCTAAATTTTTATTGTTTCCTCTTCTTCATTTTTGAATGGAACCTAGATTTTATTAGTCTTGTCTCATTACACAGTTTACTTAAGAGGCATACATTGTGTTCTCCAGCATCTGTATGAAAAAAACATTCTACTATAACAAAGTACTTTTTTTTAATACCTTAACAAACTTATGTTGGCCTCTCATTATTCCTGAAAGATAGGTGGAACAATTATGTATTTACATATTCTATGGCAGAGAGGAATTCCTTTAGTTTTTTTTTTTTTATTTCCTATTGAGTTTATTGCTGTTAAAGTTTGGAATCATTTTTTCCAAGGGGCCAGGATCTTCTTTACTCTCTAACATCTAAATGTATAATCCTATTGACCTTCTGTTTCTCATGTCTCCCTACAGCCATATGTGTCATTGTCTCAGCAGATGGCACCACCTAGTCCAAGTAACAGTACCCCTAATAGTAACAGTGGGAGCAATGGAAATGACCAGCTGAGCAAAACCAACCTGTACATCCGGGGATTGCAACCAGGCACCACTGACCAGGACCTTGTCAAGTTGTGTCAGTCGTAAGTTGGGGTATGTGTGGGTAGGCTTCCAGGGACAGTACAGACTTGGTGATACTGGCTTTTTGCCAGATACTCTTATCCTGAAATGCAATATTATTTTGCTTTTACCCCATAGTCGTAATATTTCTCAACAGCCCCTCTTAAAGAAATTCTACCTGCTACTAATAATATATGTAATCTTTACGTGTTTCTCTGAGGAAAGCCAGGATAGGGCTGGCCTTTGAAGCTTAGTATATGACTTTGTTTCCAGCAGGTATCTAGACCTGATGGTCTAAGTGGAAAGATTCCTGTCCTTACACCTTGAATAGAAATGTTTAGTATCTCCAAAGATATTGATTAGAAGGCAGTGAGAGTTGGTAGTGGGAATAGAAGAAAATGGACTAGACTAGCCAATTGAATTATATACTTAGGAGAATTTCTGCTGCTAGAGATATTCCCAGTGAACCAGAGGAGCCCTCAAATTAGCGGATAAAGAAGGTAGAGAAAGAGTCTGTCACTCTGCATCTACCCCCTAAAGATTTTTTGGGTTCTTCAGAGTAGATTTGAGTCATGAGATGGAGATAGCTATTGTGGAATTAGCCCAGTAAGGAATGCTGGAAAAATTGAAAGGGTGCAGAAATGCTAGCTCAATTCCATTTGGCAGAAAAATATGTGTTTCAAATAATAATATAGTCGGGGGAATGATTAGAGGAAGAGGTCTGGGAGTGGGATGGGGACATTAATGGGAGCAGTGAAATTGAATTTGGGTAAGTGAATGGTAGAAAGAGATAGAAATAGCAACCTTAGACTGTGTAAATTTACCATCTTTTTAAACTTTGTTTTGAAGTATAACACATGTACAGAAAAGTGCATGAATCATAAGTGCATATACAACAGTGAATATTCACAAGGTGAAATAGAACATTACCAGCTCTTCAGAACATTACCACCTCTCAGGTACTATCTCCTCCCTACCCCCAAAGGTGCCTACTTGAATATGAATAGTGCTGCTATGAACTTGTACATGTCTTTTGTGCATGTGTGTACACATTTACGAGTATGTTGGGTATATACCTAAGAGTAAAATTGTTAACTCATAGGATATACATTTGTTAAGCTTTTGTAGATACTACTAAACAATTTTCTGAAGTGGTTACACTAATTCCAACTCCCACAACAGTATATGTAAGTTCCAGTGTTCCAAATCCTGGAGAGGCAGATTATTTTGCCCCCAAAATGTATGAGGCATCAGACGTACTCTATAAATCCCTTACTCTTCTGAACTAGGTGTATGTATAAAACTGTTTCCTTTACCTCAGCTTATCTTACTAGAAAGGTATTTAAAAGGAACTTAGTCTAGGACTAGTCATGTTTTGGGGGAATGGGAATTGGCAGAAATGTTGGTTTATGAGGGAAAAGAGTATCATATGAGTCTAGTTCCTTGATTTCTGCACCTCGTGTTTCTTGTCCTAAATATGTGCTACAAAAATCCTCTCAGTAAAAGACAGAGAAAAAAGTCCATTCGACTTCACTATACTTTCAGACTTTCATTTTGCTCTTTCCAACAGTTGCTTTACCTTCTGCTGTGTCTGAAGGGATGGAAATAGGGTCAGCATGTAGGGTGGAAGTAAGGAGCCCAATAGGGGACTATGGAGAAGTAGGAATGAGGCAAAGGAAAGAATAGGTGCTAGATGAGTTATGATGAAAGGGAGGCTGAGAAGAACAGGTGGGTAGAACCCTCATGATGCTTTGAGCTGGACGTTAAACCTTTCTAGGAAGAGTGTTTCGTATGTGGAGAAGGACTTCCTGCCTTTGTCCCAGTTTTCTCTGTTGGAAAAATAAAAGTTGCTGGATCCTAAGCTCTGATGGGCAGGAAGAAGAGGCATGGAGTCTGGGACTGGAACTCCTGGCTTCTTGGAGGGGCTCCTTCTTCTGAGGAGGAAGCAGCAGCAAACCCAGCTGTTGCCAGCTGCTGTGGAAATTCTGAGCTCAAAGTCTCAGGCTTCTCAGACCACAGCAAGCTCCACCCTGGGGCCTTGGTAGGGATAGCAGCATGTGTGTCCTCTGGCCTACAGTCTCATGAATCCCTTCCTTTGCCTAAATTTGGGAAAGAATCCAAGTATGCAGCCCTGAAGGGCTAGGGTCGCCACATTCAAGCACCTCCCCCTCCCCCATCCCATTTTAATGTGTTCTTTTCCCAGCCTCTAGGGCATTGCTTAGCTTATTCTCTCTAATTCATTAGGTCACAGAAGCCCCACTAAAAAAGTCAGTGAGAAGCCGCCAAGGAGTGAAACAAATACATCAATCACCCTATGTTCTCTAGGGATGAGAGGAGAGGTAGAGAAAAATTGCTTGTTTGGGATATTGGTCTCAAATTCAGCCCCTGCAAACTGTTTTCAGTTAAATCCTGTACTTCTGACTTTGTTAGTGATTTTTGTTCTGTCTCTTTAATATTTTCACCCTCCTTGAGTGGAATGTAGTGACTTATTTCTAGTACAACACTTCTAATATAATCCCTGACCTGTGATATTCCACTGCTCGAGTTTGGGGAACTCTGCTGCTAAAGTGTAGTTTTCAAAAAGTTGAAAAACGTGACTCTCATACAAATATAGGTGAGCACATACCAAAGATTTATTTTACTCATTAATGAGGGAATCAGGAGCATGGTAAAATGCGTTCAAAGAGTATTTAAAGGACTAAGTATTTATAGGTACTGAGAAAAGAATATTGCAGTTAGATTGCTAGGTTACATACAAAGCTGGTTCATATCCTACAGGAAATAAAAGTTATCTTTTCCACTGTACAGAAATTATATGCATTTCTACTGGATAAAAATCTATAAGTTAATATGTATCTTCACAAAGTTGGGGCCCTAATCGGTGGTAAAGAGTAAATTGGGTCCGGCCGAGTGGCACGATGGTTAAGAGCTGGCTTGGGATGCCAGAGGGTCCCGGTTCGGATCCCACATATGAGGGCCAGTGACACTGCCCTCCACAGCTAAGATGCTGAACAACAGCTCAACCTGGAGCTGGGCTGCCGTGAGTCGCCTGCGACGGCGTAGGCTGCAGCCTCTGCTGCAGTGGGCTGCCATGGGCTACCGTGTGTAGCCAGCAGCCAGCATGAGCGGCCAGCAGCCGCAGTGAGCGGCCGTCCAGAAGCCGGCGACTGATCTGCCTCGCCCGGGAAGAGCGCAATGATGGTGCCAACTTGGGCCAGTGAAGCAACGTCCTCCACAACTAGACTGAAGAACAAAAGGACAGCAACTTGTCTGTTCCCCTTCCCCCAATTCCCCAGCACTGTTCCCATCCCCCAACTCCCCAATAAAAATCTTTAAAAAAAAAAAAAAAAGAGTAAGTTAAACAAAGAAACATCCTGCTAGATAATGAAGTATACCTTGAATGGGCCCTTGAGACAATGTTCCAGAATGACACTGAAAGGACGTACAGTCCTCATTTTGCCTTATCATCAAGTTTTAGATAATTTCCGTAACACTGCTGTTCTACCTGGTCTTGTGCCCACTTTCCTCCGAACACACTCAAATCTTGACCATGAGAAATGGAAGTCTTAGAATACAGTAAAGCAGGAGATTAAAATTGAGGTCCCTTGAATATAATAACAATAATAGCATTTCAGAATTTTCAGGTGTTTACCATGTGGTAGATATTAGTGCTTTATATTCATAAACTCATTTTGTATTCCCAACAATCCTGTCTGTTTTACATTTGATGAGACTGAGGCACAGAAAGGTTGTCCAAGATTACACATAGCTACAAAGTGGCAGAACTGGGATTTGAACAAAAGCAATTTGACTCAGGTTGACCTTCAATCAAGGGGGCAGTAGAGGAGTAGGGAATGAAGTGTCTGTAGGTTTTTCATAGGAGGAATGGTATTTGTCCGAAAGAAGATAAGTAGTATCAAGGATTATTTTTAGTCCTTAAGGAATTCCAGCACGAGCTCTGCCCTTACACACTGTGCTATGTGGACATCGCCAAGCTTTTTTCCCCAAAAGACAGTAGTCTCTTTCCAACTGGTATCTCAGTCTTAGTTGGAGAAGAAGAGAGAAATATGTTGGTGTTGTAAGGACTGCTACAGTTACCTTATTTCTTGTAGGTACCTTTGGGGAATAGGTTGCTATGATAAGTGTGCCATTTAAATTCAGTTCTTCTTTGTCTTTATTAGGTTTGAGTAGGATCAGTTGTCCTAGTGGGAGTGGAGAAAGGGCATGGATTCATCCAGATGTCTGTCTCTGTCGTTGTCTAAATCCCTGCCCCAAGATTATCACTTTGTGTTTTCTTCTCCCTTAGATATGGCAAGATTGTCTCCACTAAGGCCATACTGGACAAGACCACAAACAAATGCAAAGGTGAGAATACCTGTCCTTGGTGATGGAGAGCAGCTGTGAGTGAGGCCATCCCTTACCTCTACCCTTTACTGCTGAAAGGTCAAAGAGGAGTCTCTAAGGTTTTCAGGCTGAAAAGATTTGCAGATATTTATATTCTTTAGTGACCAGACAGTTAGAGCTGAAAATGCTATTTGGGAGACGCAAGGCTAGAAGCCTGCACCGAGAGTCTTTGAGTCCTTTGGGCTTACTTTGGACATTGTGTTTCCCTTGATTGGATGGTGGATATGTATAGGTGAGATTATCTCCTTAGCAAGGCACTGTAAATTCTTTTTGGTGGTGGTGATGGTAGTGTTGGTGGGGTTGATTTGGTAGTAGTATTTTGTGAGGATGAATATTTTGTTGGGGTTTTGAGCAGTTCTGGGTGGGGATGGAAAGTACAAGGAGGGAAAAGGTGTGTAGGTTGGGGTGCGGAGGGGCTTCTTCCAGCAGGTAGCTGGCTACCTGCAGTGGAAAGGCCATGTTCCCTACGTGCCTAACATCTCTGGGGTGAGGCTATAAAAGAGGAAGGGGTTCTTCGAGAATTGGGGGGAGGCTGTGAATTATGAGAAGAGCCAAGTTCCTGAAACCTCAGATTTCTTAAGGGGGAGGGAGAAAGGCAAGGACACCAAAAGGACCTCGTTAATCTTGGCATTCTTAGCTATAAAGTAGACCAAATCTCCCAGGGCTTGAGGGCCACATGGATAACTCCCTGAAACCTCTGATGTCTCTTTTCTCCCTGCCATTTCTATTACCTGGATTATTACTCTTCCTCTGTCTCCTGAAAAGCCTGGGCCTCCTGTCTCCCTTACCCTCCCACTCCCAGTGATGCTGTTTCCCTGTTCCAGGCTATGGCTTTGTGGACTTTGACAGTCCTTCAGCTGCACAGAAAGCTGTAACAGCACTGAAAGCCAGTGGTGTGCAGGCACAGATGGCAAAGGTAAGGGTCCTACCTACCCCATGTCTGTTCCTGCGAGGGGTTGGTCCAGCTCAAGGCTCCCAGGGGGGTTAAGAACCATGAAGTTGATGGGTGAGGGCCATCTGTGGTGCTTTTTGACTATATCTGGTCAAAAGGATCCCACTGAGCACCCCTTGACTGCTAGAGTAAGATGGTGTTAAAAATCTGTGGCAAGTAGCTCTGTCAACTCTTCTCATCAAGTATTATAAGCGGCAAGAGGGTCAACAGACTTTTCCCCTTGCTCCTGCTGTTTTCCCATCCCCTCCCTGGCCCCTCACATCCATACCAGACAGCTTGTGGTAGTTTTGCAACTTTGTCTGAAGAAGCCGGTTGTGCATCTCAGAAGTTCAGAACAATGCTCTGCACCTCCCAGCACGGTTCCCTAGGGATGCGCACGGGGTAGTTGTGTGTGGGGGTGGTGGGGTGGTGGGGGGAACCACAGCAAGGAAGGAAACTCCCTCCTTCTCAGCTCTGTCTCCAGCTTTCATTTTGATCTAGACAACTAGGAAACTAGAGGCTTTTCTCTCCCTTCTTCTCTTAGGTGGCAATTGTCCCCTTGCTTTTCTGAAGTCATTGTGAATACTCTGTGTAGGGCTAATGAGGCAGGTCTGTCAGCCACCTTTTTCGATCACAGTTAAAGAAAATGGAAGCCCTGAAGGGAAAGGCAGAAGAAGGATTAAGATTGCTGGTGACCCACAGTTTAGGGCAGAGTGACTGCTTAAATTCTTAAAATTACAGCTATGGCAAGTTATAGCCATTGTGTACATTCTGCCCACTGGAAGGGCTCTCCCACCACTTCTTTCGGAAGAAAAGCCCCCTGACGGTGGAGTTCAGAAGTCTTCAGAGTTCCTACAGGACTAGAACTTTCAGGGCTCCGTAGTGACCCAGTGAGCTACACATGTGTCCCTGAGTGCAGCCCGCAGCACGTTGCCTTCCCTTTCCCCTTCTCCCTCTTCCTGCTTTCCTCCATCAGGGAGTGAACAGGCATTCCTACTCAGAGGAGTCTGCTGTGGCCGGAAGAGGGGGGAGGGAGGATTACTCAAAACAATCCAGCCAGGGAACAAGGCAGTCCAAGAGAATCCAGCCTCTGGGACAGGCTGTTGGGGGAAGGGGGGAGGGCTGCACTGCCTAGTTCTTAAAGAGACAGGCAAAACTTTATCAATGACTTGTATTATGGGCTTGTACAGCACTAGGAATATTAAATCTGCTTCCCCCCCCCCCCCCAAGGATTCAATATACAACTCATGGTAGTGGGACTAGGTGTTACAAATAGTTGTTAAGATTCTCTTTGTTTATGTGGGACCCTTCCTACTATATCTTTTCTGAGATGTCATTTTGTGGATGAGGGCTGAGTGTGGGAGATGGATGAGAGATGTGCACTTCATTTTCTCACTTTTATTTCCATAGCAACAGGAGCAGGACCCCACAAATTTATATATATCAAACCTCCCATTGTCAATGGATGAGCAAGAACTAGAGGGAATGTTGAAGCCCTTTGGCCAGGTTATCTCCACTCGAATCCTTCGAGACACCAGCGGGACCAGCAGAGGGGTTGGTTTTGCAAGGTGAGTGATGCCAGGAATAGGAAATGATGAGATTGATAAAGAATGTCACCTAGCAAGTCCCTAAAAAAAAACCCATGCCCTCCCCCACATACCCCCACAAAGGGACCAAACTATTGGCCGGAAGTACTTGATGGTGAATCAAAAGTTCATTTAGGGCCAGCTGGAGTGGTTCAGTTGGTTAAGAGCGAGCTCAAGAACATGAGCTCTGAGCAACAGGTTCGCTGGTTCGATTCCCGGTGCGAGCTGAGCTGCCAACAGGTGGCAGGATGGCTCAGCTAAAAAAGAAAAAAACAGAAAAAAAGTTCATTTAATTATAGGTCCCAATACTTAACATTTGCCTCCAAATCTTTATTCTTTCCTCACTACTTCCTGCTATTCTAGCCTTTCCTTTGATCCAGACCCAATCAGAATAAAATAATTCCATATCTTCTTATAGTTTACTGAGTAACAGTTTCTCATCCTATTATTTCATTTAATCATTACAACAACCCTGTAAAATAAATATTAATTCTTCATTTTATAGATAAGGAAACCAAATTTCCCAATATGAAGTGTTTTGCCCGAGGTGTCACAGGAGTGGGTGGTAGAGCAGACCCCTAATCCTTCTGGCTTCAAGATCAATTACGATGAAGTGGAAGTTTTGGTCTACATTTTCAGATCTGTTGAGAAACTTAGATTCTAGAACCTACCTGGCCACTAACTGCCCATGTGGTATTAGACCTTTATGAGCCTTGGTTTATTCTGTGAAGTGGAGATAGATTTAGTTGAGTGATTTTCTTAAGGTGTTTTCTAGAGCTGCAGAGCTCTCCAGGGTGCCCTCTTCCGAGCTAAGGTGTCATTGTAAAGCCTCAGCTTCCTCTAGCCCGCTTAAGAAATGTTTCTGCTTTTATTTATCTTAAGATTTTGTTTGAAAGGAGATTCTGTTGCTTTTTTTATTTTGAAGTTTGAAAACTACTGGACTAAATGATCTGAAGATCCCTTTTTGTTTTAAATACTTTGTCTGGTCCAAGAACACTCTCTTACTTGGAGTGTTTTAGACTTTGGGAAGAGGAATAGGGCTTCTCCCAACTCAGTCTTGGTAGCACCACCTGCTGGCAATCCCACATATAACTAAAGGGGAGTTCCTAGGCTTGTGGTCATCAGACTTTTTTTGCCCCCACACTCTCTTAAAGCAGAGGTTCCTAACCTTTTTTCAGATCATGGCACCATAGTTGTCTTGTTAATTTTTTGCCCTAGACCAAACAAAATACTTAACAGTTCAATTTATTAAGTAATTAAATGGTCTAAACAACTCAAAAAGTGTTCATATCTTAACAATTTTGTAGCTATTTGAAAAAATACATTGAAAGAGAAAATAAATTTATTTCACCCTTAAATAACTATACTTACTACTGGATGTGCACCTGTTGGACACTGTACAACTTCTCAAACCTTGGAATCAGAATGGACATTTATACCCTCGTTTCCTGTTACACATTGATTTTCTTATGGTACTTGCTTTTGTCATAAGCATCCATTGAAAAAACAGCTTTGCAAAAATATGTCATCAAAAGAATTGTAGGGTGATCTGTTGTTGAAATGGTGAACTATTATTATAGTTAGTTGTACACATAGTATCCAGTGGATGTTGCTGTATTTTCTTCAGAAAGTTAAAATACTCCTTACGGTGCCTCTGCGAGTTCATGGAAGTGGGCCAGGTGTCTCAGAACCCATTTTGGGAATGGTGGCTTTGAAGACTTGAAAAACTATTAAAACCCTTGCATGTTTCTACATTAATAGCCACAATTTTTCTTCATAAATTTAGATTCTTGCTAAGTATGATTTCCAACAAATTTTAAACGTTGATGTTTTATTAGTTTCAGGTGTACAAAGCAATGTAATAGTGAGACAGTCACACCCCTCACAAAGTGATACCCCCCAATCTGTTACCCCTGACATTGCATATAGTTTAAACATTGATATTTTAAATCAAACTGTCATATCATTTTTATTTATTTATTTGTTTGTTTGTTTATTATCTCTAGAGGATCCTTTATTGACCAGAGCAGGACCGTGGCATATACCGTATATACATAAAAAAAGTTTGACGATCTGGCAGGCAGTAATCCCTTTGCCCGCTCACCACCCCCAGCACAGATTTTCTTGGCCCCCATGCATACACGTGGAAGGGGGATTACTGCCCCACCCAGGCTGCAAGGCCATACTCTCCTGCAGACAGAGGGGAAATGGGACTTTTCCATAGCCACCCCCTGAATATCAGAATGTCATATCATTTTTAAATGTATCTAAATGAAATCTAAATGTCAGGGGAGCATGGTAGAAGAGGGCAAAGGGGATCAAATACATGATGATGTAAGGAGAACTGACTCTGGGTGGTTAACATACAATGGAATATATAGATAATTTATTATAGAAATGTACACTTGAAACCTATATAATTTTACTAACCAATGTCACCCCAATAAATTAAATTTTTTTAAAATCTGTAAAAAAGAAATCTAAATATCATAGCAATTTGATATACAAAATCATCCATTTTGAAAATGCATAGGGCATTTCTTTTTTTAATAGTCATAACTCTTACATCTTTCTTACAGTGTTCTTTTTTTCTTCCTGTTCTTGTATTTCCATTCCATTTTCCTACAGAATTATATGCTAGTGTAAAACTTTTATAGTTGAAAGTCTTTTTATGGATGAGTCTGTCATACTTCTCTGCAATAAAAATATGTATGTACATTAAATTTTTTTCCAGTAGCCATGAAAATTATCTTTATAATTATTAGTTCACAGTTACCCCAAACAACATAAATATATTAAAATGTTGATACAAAATTATTTTATATAAAGTAAATTTTATTGAAAATGCTTCTCCTATGACATGGAAAGGTTTTATTTATTTAGATTTTTCTAATTAGGTCATGTGGCCATCAGTGAATATTGTTTATTGCTGTAACAAGACAGGGTTTAATATCAGTTCTGTTCCTGTTTTTTTGTTTTCATGTTGAGAAACCTGTTCACATAAATAAGTAAATGGGAAAGGAAAGAGTTTTGTTAAAATAGGTATTATTTGAATTCCTTCTGGATCATATGTCAAGAACCAGGGTGATCTTTCATCAAACCTGAGTGTTTCTATGTGTCAGTTGATAACTTGTGAGTTCTCCAGCTTCGGTAGGGAGGAAGAATTGGGAGCATCTAACTTACAATAAGATGTGTAACTCTAGTCATCACTGCCTCGTGTTGAGCTTTGGGATGAGTGTGAAGCGAATGGAGAGGAGTGGTTGTGAGAGGGGACTTGAGCCTTGATCATTAGTAATCACGAAGACTCCCTCAGGCCGATCAGTTTTAGGAAAGAGTTTATGAAGAAGTTGAGGTTCTGAAAGCAATTCTCTTAAAACTCTTCATGCCTGTCCACTTTTTTTAAAGACTAAGGAATAGGAGTAACCCAGCTAAAGACTTCTGTTCTAGGATACCTTACATGTGATTTTCTCTAAAAGGTTCCATTTGAGGCCTTTTTTTTTTTAGTGACCGCCTTCACAGGAATGGTTTATATTTTTAGTGGTTATTGGCATAGAAACTGTACTTAGACTTACTTTAAATACAGAAAGAGGGGAAGATACTGTACCTTCTATTATGTAGACCCTTACAATTTTTAGAACAGTTTTATATAGATTATTTCATTTGATCTATACAACCCTGTGTAGTAAGGTAGATGTATAATTTCTCTAAAGCAGAAATGAAGAATGGGTCCAAAGGGTTTTTGTGCATGTCTTAACTTATAGAGCTTTGGGTGGTGAACAGGCTCTGGAGTCAAAATTTTCTGATTCCTTATTATTCAGTCCTCTTTCCCTTAACAAGATACTTTAACTCAGTAGTAACGTTTTTTCTATCACTATGGACCTTAAACCTTGTCTTACTATTGTTTCCGCCTACAGACTCATACAATCTTAATGATGTTATCAGTAGTTAATTAGACCTTGATAAATAACCCGAAGTAAAAAATAAGTATTGGCAAATTCTTAGCTTGTGTAGTTTTATCAAACTGAAGGAACAATTTCCATTAGGAATTTTGTAATAAAAAGTAATGATAACAGCCTCTATTAATTGTATTCTTATTTACAAACCACACACAATACTAGACCCATCTATCAATATCTCCTTTGAAATACGTATTCATAGTTTAAAGGCCTCTATTATTCCTTTCCAGAGCCATTTGAGAGAACCTTTATTAGAAGCTGGGGTTGCCTCTTCAGGATACTTTGAATTTGTGTGGAGGAAACTCTGTTTCTATAGACACAACTTGTAGAGCATTTGTGGGGCTGGGAACTTAGAGCTTTCTTTTTGAATGTAGGGAGAGCATAGATCCTGGAGAAGCTAGAGCCTAACCCCTCTTGTGCTCCTTAGGATGGAGTCCACAGAGAAGTGTGAAGCCATCATCACCCACTTTAATGGAAAATATATTAAGACACCCCCTGGAGTACCAGGTGAGGCATCTGGGAATCAGGCTGAGAGGGCCACAGGTTGTTACTTCCAGTGAAGACTCTGGAGACGTTTTGCATGAGTGTGAGTGGGCTAAGTGGGGTGGCACTCAGCTGCCTGTCTGCTTTCTCTCTTGGCAGCCCCGTCTGATCCATTGCTTTGCAAATTTGCTGACGGTGGTCCAAAGAAACGACAAAACCAAGGAAAATTTGTGCAAAATGGACGGGCCTGGCCAAGGAATGGAGACATGGTAAGAGGACCCCTACGGAAACAGGAGTACTGAGGATATTAAATGGAATGGAAATTCCCATGGCCTGATTTCTGTGAGCTTAGGAGGCAAGCTTGAGAGCTACCGTTTATAACTGAGAGACGCTGGCTACTTAACATGCTCTTCAGTGTGGGTCTTGAGTGGGATTTTGCAGTGTGAAGAACCAGAAAAACTCTGGAACAGCTTGTGTAGACTTCACTTTAATCTGCTGAACCAAATATCCCCAGCCTTGACATTTCTGGGCTTGTTCCTCTTCTCACCCAAGAGTTCACAATATGTATGCTGTGTTCTTTCTTTATAGGGTGGCATGGCCTTGACCTATGACCCAACCACAGCTCTTCAGAATGGGTAAGGGTGTTTATATAATCAGGTCACCTAAAAATGACAACAGCCTGTGAGGATGTTTCATCTTGATTTTTAAACAGCACTTAGCGGGAAATGGCTGTGTCTATCAGTGGGGGCCCTTACTTGGTGATTTCCTGTGACTCCTTACTGATGAGGTTCCTTTGTACAGGTTTTACCCAGCTCCGTATAACATCACCCCCAACAGGATGCTTGCTCAGTCTGCACTCTCCCCGTATCTTCCATCTCCTGTGTCTTCATATCAGGTATGTGCATGCCCAAAAAAAGGGTGTGGTGGTTTTCCCTGCCATTATGTTCTGGGTGAAGGAATATAAGATTGGAAAGTACTTGGTTTTTTGTTTTTCCTTTATACATGTGACACACAAATAATTTTATATAAAAGCATAATGTGATCACATTACATATGTATAGACTGTTGTAGTAGCATCCTCTTATTCTCTGTCCACCACCCCCACAAGTAAATCCATGTTAATTGCCTCCTATTTTTCCACATTTTTCTTCATGTACATATACCCATATGTATAGGGTTTTTGGAAGTCGGTTTTTGGAAGTCGTTTATTTTACAAAAATTGGAGCATACTAAATATATTTTCATACTTTTCTCACTTAATAGTATTTTAAACCAGTGATTCTCAAATTGTAGTCCTTGGGCCAGCAGTTATCAGCATCACCTGGGAACTTATAGAAACACAAATTCTTAGACTCCACCCCAGATCTACTGAATGAGAAACCTTGGTGATGGGTCCCAGCACACATCATCTGAGTTTTAATAAGACCTTTGGGTGATTCTTATACAGCTAATGTTGAGATCCTCTGTTCTAATTGTTTCCTTATTTTATTTTGTATTATTTTTTAAAGATTTTATTGGGGAGTTGGGGAAGGGAACATTGTGTTTTTCCAGGACGCATCAGCTCCAAGTCAGGTTGTTCTCCTTCAATCTTAGTTGTGGAGGGCGCAGCTCAGCTCCAAGTCCAGTCGCCTGTTTCCTTATTTTAATAGTTGCATTATATTTCATGCTGCAAATACACCAGAATTCTTCAGCTGTACCCCAGTAAAGGGCATTCACTTGGGGATCAGTGTTTTTCTGGTATAAATAATGCTCCAGTACACACCCTTGTGACTTCTTACATATTAGTGCTTTTATTTCTGGGGGCTGGAGTCGGAGGAGTGGGCTTGCTAGGCTGAATAATTTATGGACTTTCAGTTTTATAGATGTTGCCAGATTGCTTTTTGCAAAGGCGGTGTCCAGCAGGAGAATGCCCATTTCCCTCCCACCATAGGTGACACTGCTTTTAAAATTTTTCCTATTTAATGGTAGTAGAGGGCATTATGACTTGAATTTGCACTTCCCTGACTGCAGCTTAAATTTAAGCATTTTTTAATGTTTGTATATTTTGATTTGGTATTCTCTGATTTCTCTTTGTATGCTTGGCCCATTTTTCTGTTTGGTTATTTGTTCTTTTCCCATCAACTTATAAAAACCATTTGTATATTAGAAGTGGTAATCCTCTGAATGTTATCTTTACTACAAATATTTTTTTGCAAGTTTAATTTTTGTCCATTGACTTTGTGGACCTCAGACTTTAGCTGTACACCAGAATCAGTTGGAGAGTTTATTAAACCTAGGTTACTGGGCACCACACCAAGACTTTCTGATTCAGTAAGTCTACTGGGTGGGAGGCAAGAATTTGTATTTTTAACAACTTCCCAGATGGTGCTGCTGCTACTGCTGCTGGTCCAAGGACCATACTTTGGGAATCACCATTTTTTGCCATATAAAAGTTTAAAATTTGAATATAGTTAACTATGTCTGCTTTTTTACGTATAGACTTCTAATTTCTTGCCTTAATTCAAAAGGTTTTCCCAGTCCTTATAATTGTACATGTGGTCTCCAAAATTTATTTCATTGTTTTACATGTAAATGTGTAATCATCAGGAATTTATGTTTGTATATGGTAGAAAATAGAGGTCCTTTTGTATATTTTCTTTCAAAATGTTAACCAGTTGCTCTAGCACCAAATTATTAAGTAATCCATTCTTTTCCCACTGAGTTGAGACGCCACCTTTGTCATATAAATACTGGAATTTATCTCTGTATTCTTCATTCTTTCCCAATGATCATTGTTTCTATTCCTATTCCAATAAATACATTGATTTGACCACAGTGGCTTTCATAATATGTTCTAATACTTGATAAGATAAAACCCTCTTCTCTACTCTTTTTTTTTCAACCTTTTCTTTGCTATTTTTTGGCATTTATTCTTCTGTATAAAGTTGATGGTGATTTTATATCATTTTTAAAAATCTGTAAGGATTTTAATTGGAATTACATTAAAGCTATATATTAGCTTAAGAGAATTGACATTTTTAAAAGTACTAACCTTTTCACCTAAGATACGGTATTTCTTTTCATGTTTTTAAATCTTTTTTTATGTCCTTCAATAAGATTTTAGTTTTGTTTATGTAAAACTTATGCTTTTCTTGTTAAATACCAAGGGTGCCAAAAAAAGGTATACACATGACTTGTATTCACTTTTTGTTATCGGTATATGTTGAATGTTACAATTTTAATACAGTTGTTTCCTTTCTTAAAATGTACATACATTTTTTAGCACCCTCTGTGTACTCCTAAGTGTTCTATAACTTTTATAAACGTTTCTAAATACACTCGTTGATACACTGAAAAAAAGCTACTGATTTATGTTCATCTATTTAGTGTGCAGCTTACTTACCAAATCCTCTTATTATTTACTACTTTTTTGGGTTTTTTTTACTTGAGGCTCTTAGGTTTTCCAGGTATACAATTCTATCATCAGTGCAAATAATAGTTTCTCTTCCTTTCCAATTTTATACCAATTGTGTTCTTATCTAATTGTATTTATTTGACCCTACTATAAAATAGATTACTATAATTATAGTCATTTTAATATTTCTCTGTTTAGGTTCATATTAATGGCAAGTTTTTGGTAATAGCATTTTATATATGTAGTTTCTTTCTAGTTCCTATTTTACTTTGTGATTTTTACAAAAATAAATAAATGGCTGCTGAATTTTATCAAATGTCTTTTCAGCATCTAGTGTTACACTATAGCTTTTTCCTTCAATTTTGACTCATGTGTATAGAGTTTCTGATCTTGAACAATCCTTATATTTATGGAATAAGCCCTGCTTGTTTACTGTGATGCATTTCTAGCTTCTCATTGCTAGTTTTTTTCATTTTACAGATAAAAATAAGATACAGTTCACATACCATCAAATTCACCCTCTTAAAGCCTACAAGTCAGTAGTTTTTAGTATATTTACAAAATTCTACAACTATCACTATTATCTAACTCCAGAACATTTTCATCACCTCAGAAAGAAACTCTGCAGCCATTAGTAGTCCTTCCCCATTCTTCTTTACCCCCAGCCCCTGGCAACCACCAATATACTTTTTATGCCTCTAGATTTGCCTGTTCTAGACATTTCATATAAATGGAAGTGTACAATATAATATATATCTTGTGTCTGGCTTCTTTCAGTTAGCATGCTTTTAAGGTTTATCCATGTTATAACATGTTATAACATATAACATTAAAAGTACTTCCTTTTAATGACTGAATCATATTCCATTGTGTGGATATACCACATATTTTGTTATTCATTTATCACTTGATGGCCATTTGAGTTGTTTCCACCCTTTGGCTATTATAAATAATCCTGCCATTTGTGTACAATTTTTGTTTGGACACATGTTCTCGTTTCTCTTGGGTATATATATATATATATATATATATATATATATATATATACCTAGGAGTGGAATTACTGGTTACACAGTAACCGTAATTTTTTGAGGAACTGCCAATGTGTTTTCCAAAGCTGCTGAACCATTTTACATTTCCACTCACAGTGTGTGACACTTGCTATTCTGTCCTTTTCATTACGGCCATCCTAGTGGGTGTGAAGTGGTATCTCATTGCGTTTTCGATTTACATTTCCCTAGTGGCTAATGATTTTGAGCCTCTTCATGTGCTTATTGGCCATTTGTATATCTTCTTACACAAATCTCTATTCACATCCTTTGCCCATTTTTAAATTGGGTTATTTCTTGAGTTGTAAGAGTTGCTAATATTTTTTAAACAGTTTACTCTTAATGTTTCTATATTCTGAGGGGGCACGCCAACGTTTGGAGGGTTTTGCTGAATATTATCAGATCACTGGATGAAACAATAGTTTCTGGGCAATTAACATTTTGTTTATGTTTGCTTACATTAGAGAGTAACGCAGACATCTCCTCTACAAGTACCTAACCCGTCTTGGATGCACCACCAGTCATACCTCATGCAGCCTTCAGTGAGTGTTCAGAAGTGGGCAAAAGCCAAAGAGGCAAATTGATGTAATGAAAAACAACTGGATTTGATGACAGGCGATGTAGGTATGAGTTCTGGCTCAGGCCCTCATGCAACCCAGGTGTATGACCTTAAATTCTTAGATGGGGATCCCTCTACTCATTCCTGTTGTATAACTGGGTTGCCGCCCACTGATCATTTTAAAACGTCAGTCTTCAGTGGTCCTGGTAGCGATGAATCATTGCTTCAGGCAGCCTCACAGGATGCTGCCAACTAACCCTGTTCTTTGTTGATGCGTCTAGGGTTCAGTTCTGACTCCAGGCATGGATCACCCCATTTCTCTCCAGCCTGCCTCCATGATGGGACCTCTAACCCAGCAACTGGGCCACCTCTCCCTCAGCACCACCGGCACGGTAAAGCAGGATATTTCTGATTATAAACTCCTACTGAGCAAGGAGTAGCTATGTCATACCCTTCAGGTTAAATACTTATGAATGATAATGAGAATCACTCAGTGTCATTGAGGGCACACTCAGAATAGGAGATAAAATAAAAATATAATAATCCATGAGCCGGGAATACAGCCATTCTGCTCCCCAACCCATTCCTTTTAACTGATTCCTACTCATGAAACTAAACAAATAACGTTTCTATCTCCATCCTGGTTTATCTAGGAGTTCATCCACATTTCTTAGAAATCTTTATCAAAATAGGAACAAGAAGAGTGGATGAAGCTCATTAGCTGTCTTGTAGGTCTGCTGCATTCCAATTTGCACAGGAGGGCTTAAAGGCAGCACATTAAGAAGCAGAGGACAGGAAAGAGGAGGAAAGGAAGTCATGTAGGCAGAAGTCTCTTTCACCCAGTGTACTTTAAAACTACCTGAAGTGCTCTTAAAAAGCACAATTAAATTAGAATCTCTGCGGATGGAGCATAGGCATCCATATTTTCCAAAGCTCCCCAGGGACTTTCAATGCAGCCAAGAATCACAGCCCTAAGCTCACTGATGTTTTCCTTCTAGTACATGCCACCAGCTGCAGCCATGCAAGGAGCTTACATCTCCCAGTACACCCCTGTGCCTTCTTCCAGTGTTTCAGTTGAGGTAAGAGTTTTTCAGTCTCTTTGGATTGAGGACAGGAAATGAACAGAGGCAGATTTTCCCCCCTGAACAAGACCTTCCTCTCACAAGGATGCCGATTCTGTATTCACAAATAGCTGGCAGGTATGTGAAAAATGTAGGAAGAAAAGACTTAGTTTGTATCCTTGAATGAGGCCCTTCCTGACATTTCACCAGATAGCGGTTAATGCCAGGATGCTGACCGGTACTGACTAGTGTGTCTTGGGCAGAGGACAGGCTGCTGTCCATGTTGGGGGAGTGACGCTGTGTGTGTGCCTACTCACACAGGTGCATGGCAGTGGGGAGGTTGGGGAGTGCACTCAACTCTGGGCGGGTTGTAGCTAGGCTGCTTTAGTGGGAGGTGAGGTCAAGATGCACAGGGTGACTCTCCTGCCTTGGCTGTGGTACAGGAGAGCAGCGGCCAGCAAAATCAAGTGACGGTGGATGCTCCTTCAGACCATGGGGTCTATTCTTTCCAGTTCAACAAGTAACAGTGGTAAGAACCACAGGCTGAGGGGCAGGGTGTGTTGAGCAGCGTCAAATCAGACAGGGTCTCATGCTTGTCATTCCACCCCCCCTCCCTACCCTCTCTGGCTTATTCCTCCTTTAGGACTTCCCTCCCCATCTTTGTTGAATACAAATGAACTATTGGAAATGCTGATGCTCCCAGACTCCAGAGGGCTAACCAGGAATACAGACCATCTGGGGGCCCTGCTAAGAACTAACACCTGGCCATCGTTTTTCACAGGCCTGGGCCTGAACAAGAAATCTCTGCACTCCTGCCCTCTTCTACTCCTCCATTCCTGATGGAGGCTGGGGGAACTGTCACTTTTTGTGTATGCTACATTCAAGGTGATCAAAAAAATTTTTTCTTTCTTTTGCAAAGAAAGTTTTATGTTGTTTTTAACTGCAATATACTCTTTCCCTACCCCAAGGAGACATGGTGCCTGGAGCGTCTTCTCATCTTTATGAAAAACACTTTTTGATGTGTTGGACTTATTTGGGGAGGCTTTTACATTTTTTTATTATTTCTTCTCTTTAAAAAAAAGAAAAAGAAAAGTGTGCTAGAACACTGAAGGGGTCCTACTGTGGGCCCTTCTTACTGAATTTAATTACAGACGTTTTGGTATGTGTAAGACAATGTCCAGACTTTTAAAATTTTGTTTTATAAAGCTTAGCTCACACATCCTGTCTCTTCTTCACACATTTTATGACTTCTTCCTCTCATCCAGATTGTTCTTTTTCTCTTCCATTCAGCAGAGCTTTTTACAGTTTTTAATTTTGTGAATTTTTCTTTGGAATGAAATTTCATATGGAGTTTTGGGGGGCTTGGCAAGGAACAAGGTAATACACTAAGCAGGCAGTGGAACTGGCGTTTCTTCCCTCTGTCCTGCCACATCCTGGGAGAAAAACCTAGAGTTTGCCTTCAGGAAGCAGAGATGTGACCTAGGCTCATGAAAGAGACCCTTGGAAAGAGATCCCACAGCCCTTGGAAGTCATTGTTGAGCCAAATTTGGATGAAGACTTGGTCTTCTCTGGCGAGTTCCAGAAGGGTGGACTTACTGACTTTTGAGTAATTCTTCTCACTGCTGAGGCCAACACCCTCTGAGGAAGTGTCTTCTCCAGCTACAGCTTTTCAGGAATACCTGCTTTCCTGCTTCCTGGAGGATCTTCTTTTCTGTTCTGGTCTCAGGACCCCTTTCTTCCCCATTGTTCCATCACTGTGCTCAGAGCTTTGCAGTTGTGGCCTTGCTGAATCCACTCAGGCTCCTTCCCCACTGTGGAAGATAAGTTGCATCACCTCTAGGCCAGTGGTTCTCAAGGAGGTGGTTTTGTCCCCCGGAGGCCATTTGGCAATCTCTGGAGACATTTTTGATTGTCATGCCTGAGGATGGAGGCTGTGTGCTGCTAGCATCTAGTGGCTAGAGACCAGGGATGCTGCTAAACATCCTTCAGTGCACAGGAGAGCCCCAACACTCCCAACAATTATCTAGCTATAGTGTCAGTAGTGCCAAGGCTGAGAAACCTGTTGGAGACAATGTTGTCCCTGCTTCCTGTACCAGAAGATTTGGGAACTTCCCACTCCAGCCCTGGACACACGGTGCCTCTTGATACTCATACAACTAGTTGAAAGTGACAGAACTGGGGTCCTCAAAGTTTCCTAGGCGTTGACCTTTGACACCTCCACATACCCTTAAAAGGCTTGTGCTGTTGTGTACATGCCACGTGCACACAGATCAAGGTAGGGGCCATTTTGTGTGTGTGCTGTGCAGGGTGGGAAAGGACAAAGCTTTCTGTAACCGTCCAGAGCAACCTGTCCTGTCTTGGTGTGTTTGGGCTCCTTTTCCCAGGAAACCAGGCACCTGACCTTGAAGTGAAAGGGAGCAGAATTCACCTTTTATTGTAAGGGACTGACTGGGAGAAGACAAGTGCAGGAGTTTACTTCCTAGGTGTGAAAAGGCTTTCTCTTCTGTCTCCATGTGTGTAGAGTGAGGTCTTGCAGAAGGAGATGGAGTCGAAGAGCCAACAACAGACTTTTTTAAAGGACTCCTGACCTTTTCTATCCTAGCTTTCTGTCTTTCCACAAGAAGGAAAATTATTTATGATGTCCTGTTTGAAATAACTTAGAAATGAACTAAGAACTAAGGAAAAAAATAGCATGTGTAGCCAAAAACACCAAAAAGAAATTCCACAGCGCCATTAACCACTACAAAGATAACTTCGGGCTCGCCATCACTTCCTGTGCCCAACCAAACCTGCCCAAACCAGAAACACTCATTAATAGAATTCATTAAGTAGATTCACATGAAGGGAACACACAAAAAGTAATTTCAGAATTTAAAACAAAACATTTAAGCGTTTTTTAAAATAGAGCGAAAGTAGAGGGGATCAGGAGTTCAAGGAGGCACGGGAGGACAGAAATGACATCAACAGTTTCCATGCATGAAAGGTCCCCACTGCACTAAACCTCACACAGTAAGGCTCCCCCAAGCTACTATCAAATGAACAGGATTCTAGATTTTTTTTTTGTTTCTTCAAGGCCACTGACAAATCTACAGTGTACTTTCCTTGACTAAGGGATGGAGACTTAAATGAGCTACCTGCCCAGCCAAACCCTTCTAGAAGGTTATTGGGCTTGGGGCTATTATGTTAGATGAGCCCTTCCTGAGGTTGGAAGCACCCATGAGAAAAGTAATAGTGGGAATTTTGCCCTTTATATTTTATATCCTACCCATTGCCCCTACTTCCCCCACTCACTCACCCCCAGGATGTACAAAAGGGCAGTCCAAGGGAAGGGAGCTTTGGGACTCATTTCTGGGATGGGAGAGAAGGGAGGGAAAACTGGGCCCAGGCTCTATGGACAACTGATACTACAGCTTTTTTCCCCAGTATCTTCTTCCTCTCCAGACAGCCAGCCTAATGAACATCTGTTTCTCCATTCATGTGAATCTACTTAATGAATTCTATTAATGAGTGTTTCTGGTTTGGGCAGGTTTGGTTGGGCACAGGAAGTGATGGCGAGCCCGAAGTTATCTTTGTAGTGGTTAATGGCGCTGTGGAATTTCTTTTTGGTGTTTTTGGCTACACATGCTATTTTTTTCCTTAGTTCTTAGTTCATTTCTAAGTTATTTCAAACATGGGTGAGTGACTGGATAAAGGAGAGAGAAGGAATGAGGGATACTTTTTCTCACATGAAAGAGCCTAGTGGTGGCAGTGGTGACTGGGAATTGTAGGGGAGCCTACAAGCTCACAGTCTAGGGCCTGGCTCTGTAAACACTTACGCCTAGTGTTTTCTGCATTGTCTTTGCAGAGCCCAGATCATAACTTTCTCTGTACTTCACATCTCATTCCCATTCATTACATATGTTCATAACATTCTTAAAGTACTGGGTTGTCGGAAAAGTCATGACGCATTTTTGCAACGAAAAACATAGAAAAAATATACGTCATGACTTTTCCGACAACCAAATATTTTAGTACTTAGTGTTTTTCTGTTCTCAGTCAGGTAGAACATACCTGAGCCCCTCCCTCAAAGGATATAGTCCTTTAATAGGCTCAGAGCCTGCCTGTCCCATCTCATGCCAGTGTTATGACTGTTCCTCTCACACTGAGACGATACAAACCCCAGGCTGATTACACTTCTTGGAGCGTGTGGGTAGAGGTTATGGAAGATGTGGGAATGGTGGTGGGGAGAGATGTTGTTTTTTAACCAAAGAATTTGAAGAGCTGTCCAGACTTGGCCTGGTGGCTCTGAAGCGGGAATAGCCCTTGTCAGTAATAGATAGGGGTGGTGGTGGGGGGGAGACACTTTTCACTGAGGGTGAAAACGACCTGCTGCTGCTCTACCGACCATCCCTGTGTTTCACTCCTCTTCCTTTCCTAACTTACTGATCTGCAAGCTCATTCACCCCTTGGTGCCTGCAATGCTCCCTCGCGGCTGCTTCAGTGTCAGCCCTTGGGGGGCCTACATGTGGGTTTGGTACTTGGCAGCACAGAGGTATTGGAATGAACTGTTACAGGGATCCTGTTGCCCTGGCGCACATGCTCCACCTCCTGGAAGAGCAGCAGCACTGCACTCATGAAGGGCTACTTGGACCTTAACCAAGGGACAAAAAAACTTAGATGGGGTCTAAACTTGTCCCCAGGCTCTGCTATCTGCTAGCCTAACTTCAGTGAAGAGGGTGGGTGTTATGCAGCCAGTCTGTAAGGCCTAGGTCTTTTATTTTTATTTTTTATTATTAGTTTCAGGTGTACAAAACAATGCAATAGTTATCCTTTTCACCCCTCACAAAGTGACAACCCCCCACTCCCCATCCATTGCCCCTCCACCTCCAATATCATACATATCTATACAATTCCATTGACTCCATTCCCACACTCTACTCCACATCAGTAAGGGCTAAGTCTTAAATCCAGTGCCTTGTCACATTGATCCTTCCCGATTCCCTCTTAAACCAACTACTCCATTTCTGTGCTTATCTGGCATTTTAGGTCCTGCCAAGCCTTAGCAGATCCCTCCTATTTACTCGGCTTTCACACCTTCCTTTCCTAGGAGGAGGAAGAGGCCTGTGAGCTCTATCATCTATCACCCTTCTGATCTTTGTTGAAATTTGCTGCACTTCCCTAGGGGTGGTCCCCACATGGCTGTAGTGACGAGAAAGCCAGGTGCCCTCTCACCTGTTGCCACTGCTTTCTCCCTGGCATAGCTTGTTTTGAATAAACGTTCTCCAAGCATATCCCAGAACTTCCTTGTCCTTGTTACAGATCTACCTCACAATTTCAGAGTTCAAGGGCATGAGCACCTGGTTTACATCTTCCCTTTAATCTGTCCTCCCCTTCATGAGGACGGGAAGCTGGGGGCCAAAAGGTTCATCATCAAGTACAAAAACTCTTTTGGTTATTTCTGTTCCTGGACTGTCTTCTTTGGGATTTTTAGCTCATAAACCATCCTAGAATAGTGTGAACTCTTCAGTTAGGTCTTGCTGTGGTAGACCAGGGGGACAGGCCGTGTAATGACGGCCTAGAACATTAACTAATGCTTGGGAGCCACCCTCAGGGACACCAACAATAGAGCAGAGCTCAGAACTTAAGAGGATGAGTTGGCCAGCGGCTACCCTATAGATGAAAAGGTAAGCAAGCACCAAAGAGGGCGTTTGTGATTTTTATGGGGCTGGAAAAGCAGATTTCCCTTCACCATTTTATTCCAGTTAGTTTAGAGGGTTCACCAAAACAAAACTTTCAACCTGGAAGCTGATAAGATTTCCCAGCCTGAGTGTTCCTATCCCCCAACACGTACTTTTGGGTTGCGAATGGTCTTACATGCACTTATCTTTGACAGGAAAAAATTTTAATTTATACTCAAACACATTTTGTACATTTTTTTCTTTATCCAGAAGCTTCTAGTTTTATACTCTTCCCATGTCTATGCCAATACCATCCTTCTAAGCTTATTCCTTTTCTGACCTGTTGGTATTCTCATGTTGCTGCCCTACAATTTGGTAGAGCTTCATTTTGTCTTATTTCAACTTTGGTTTTGAAATAAAACACAAACATTTATCTCTTGGTGTCTTATCCATGGGTGGAAGCTTGGAAGTTGCGGAGGGGCGCATATTTGCTACTACAGGAAAACAGGTAGCAGCTTAAGAAGCCAAAGCCATGTCTCACAAGGCAGGAACCGGGCGCACCGAATCCCATGTTGCTCCAGCACCTCGGCCAGGGTTACCAAGACCAACTGCATGAGAAATTCTGCTCTTGAGGCCTCTTGCCCAAGAAAAGCCAAGCTTGGAGGTTTAGGGATCACCTTTGGAAGATTAAGGGAATATTCCTCTCCTGCCTGCTACCTGCCTGCTATCTCCTATACCAAACCACTCATACTCACCCTAACACCCAGTCTTCCCCTTAGGCAAGTGTGAGACCCTATGTTGAAGGGAAGATAAATACACAGAGTCTATTAAATCTCTATCAAATGTGGTTTTTATTCAACTGACAAGCACTTTTCTACAGCTGCACTTGTGGAACATCACATGGCAAAAACAGGAGTTTTTTTCTCTAGACTTTTTTTTCCTTTTTTTAACCTTATTAAAAATGAGATTGGTCCTAAAAATATAGAAAGAAATAAATTTAAATTCACAAAAAACTGTACATTATCAAAAAGTCACTAAAACACCACATTTGGTTATATAAAAAGTCAAGTCCCTTTTGTTGTAAAAGGAACATGAAAACTTGTTGGTGTTGATGGTGTGGTGGTTTCTTCCTGTTACCAGACTGATGGGGGAGGGGAAACAAAGGGGCAGGGGATGTTTTTTTTTAATTTTTTAACCTGCCTTCCCTACCAAATACTCTTATTTGTCAAGAAGAGAAAATCCACCTAGCTCAAGGGGCAGTGAAGATGAGGAAAGAAAAGTGAGAAATGGCCCCTTTGATCATCCTACCCCACCCCCTACAGCCCCCACTTCTTCCAACTGAGGCTAGGGCTCCACCCCACCTTAAGAGTGCCTGGTCCCTAGGGAAAGAGATGGAGCTGGGAGAGGAACACAAAGTAGGAATAATTGAGATTTCACTCCCCCGTCCACCTCGCCTCCAATAAAATTAATCTAATACATTTTATACCGGGGAAAACTGCCATGGGGTAAAAGAATAGCCCCCAATTCTAACAGTTCCAAATGTCTAACACAAAGTTTGTTACAGCGCAGTTATTTAGATAAAATATAAATATTTATGCATAATATAAAGTCAATTCAAATATTCTTCAATCCACCTCTTATTTAAAAGCAAAAAAAAAAAATCTCAAATAAAATTAAGTTTTGAGGTTTATCTGACAGAAAAGGCGACTTTAGAAATAGGCTATGGGGCAAAAGGGGCATAAAGAAATAAGAAAGGGGCTGCCCCAGGACCTACACTGCCCCCTTCAGTGGCTATTCAGTGCTGCCAAGAAGTTCAAGGAATGCTCTACCTCACCTGGCACCCCTCCCCCACCAGTGGAACATCTCTTGGGTGCCTTAGCTCTCTGCTTGGGCCAGCCAGCAGCCACCTCCCCAGTGCAAGTACCCGTAATCTCTGATGGGAGGGGCTCTGCTGAGCAGGAAAGCAGGGGGCCAGGGGCCCATGGCTATAGCTGGGAGTTAGCAGCTTTCCTCTCACATGTTGGGGCTTAACTTGGGGACAGTCACATGGAGGGCAGTGGTGGACCCAGAACCCCTCCTCCCTACTCTCTTGTGTTCCAGGGTCTCTGCTGCTAGGGAAGGGGTCCCAGGGTATGAAGTAGAAAAGGGAAGGAAAGCACAACTAAACCCACAGAAGCTCATGGGATTAGGAAAAGATCCAGTTCTATCCCTCTCTCTGCAAAAGCTTAAGACTCAAAGCTACTGAAAGGAGGAGGAGTTCCTGCTGAAAGATTGCACAGTTTAAAGAGGCTGGAACAGAAATGACTGGGAGAGAGAGAGGAGAGACACAGCCTTGTACCCAAAAAAACTGTTCTTGTGGTTTCCCAAAGACAAAAAAAGTGATGGTTTAAAACAATAGGAAAGGTGAGAATAAAAAGATACTTGGGGAAACTGAATGGATGCCATCAAACACAGGGGCACGATCAATCACAGCATCCTCTCTCTCTCTCTCTCTCACACACACACACACACACACACACACACACACACACCTCGCTCGCACGCACACTCTCTCTCTCTCTCTCAGGCCAGTCGATTGCTACCCGGCCTCCATCTTGGGGTTTGCCCAAACTCAGCAGTAGTTGTCCCTGAGGAGTTCCCAAGAGGGAGGTTTGGGAAAGAGGTGGGGGAAGGAGGCTGGAAGGCCCAGGGTCCAGGGTGCCTCCCTGTCCTATCCCCAGCTACTGAGTTTCAGAAAAGGCTAGAAACTCAGCATGTGAGGAGCTTCCAACATTATAGAGGGGACAGCTATTGGCAGATGAAGATAGAAAAACAGGGACCTCTGAACTTTTTTTTTTCCTTTGAAGGGATAAAAGATTTTGGGGAAAAGAAAAGGATGAAGGAACCCGTACACGATAGTTTTACATTATTGGATGACAGAAAATCTGAAAGGGGGAAGGGAGGGAGGATGAAAAATTGAGAGAAAGAGAAGCAGGGGAGGGACTGAACATGGAAGCAGCATGTTCAGGGCCCGGTGTCCGGCTCGACACACTTGGGAGTTAAGTCCACTTTACTGGCCGTCACTGCGGGTCCACGCACAGTACAGAGTGTTTCTCGGTTTCACACATTCACTAGAACTATTGCTATTGTTAAATAGCCCCAGAGTGCTGGGGCACGTACAGGGAAGAAGCTGGGGGAGGAAGTAGGGACTTCTTTCCTCCTGCTCATTTTTAATTAGGAAATAAAACAGAAAGGAAAATAATTTTTTTCTTTCTTTTTTGGCTTTCAGTCCAGAAGGACCTCATCTCTGCCCCTCTTATTTGAGGAGCAAGAGGAGGAAAGGGAGAAAGGGGTGTGGGGGTAAGAGGACTTAGGGTGCTGCCAAGGGCAGGGTCAAAAATCAGGGTTATGTCTCTGACTTGAGTCTGGACCCAGGGCAGCATCAGCAGGTGAGAATGGCAGGGGTTTTTGTTTGGACGGTGGGTGGAGACGCCACAGGTGACTCTCCACCTCCCTTGCCTCACAGATTGGCCTGTTTTCCCTGATAAAACTCCTCCCAGCGGCTCTCGAAGAAGCGGCGCATGATGTGCCCAGCCTTGCCCACTTCAGAGTCATCCTCGTTGAAGGTCTGGCAGTTGTCAAAGACCAGGAGCGCATCAGCCGCAAACTCCTCTGAGCTGGTGTACCTGGGCAGGGGTGGAAGCAGAGCTGTGAGCAGGGCAGGCGGTAGAGTAGTAACAGAAGAGCCAGGAGAGCTGCTGACATCCACTTACCCTCCCCGGAGCAGCCGCTCCCGCATGGTGGAAAAATCCATAGGGTTTTTGATGATGCGTCGGTACCCACTCACCAAACGTGGGTTTACAGGCTCCAGAAAAGGCCAGGCTGCATCATGGGATTCCATCTCCATTAAGATAATCCTACCATTAAAGGGACAGTGATGGCTGCATCTCATGAAGCAAATACACTTACCCCTAACCAGGGCCCTTTGCTCTGGTAAAGGTAGAGCCAGCTGTCCCCAGAATTCACTCAACTCACTCGCAAAATGTGAGGTCACTGTGGTGGTTCCGCATGGAGAATCGTCGCCGCTTTGATGGGGACAGCCCTCCTTCGGAGTACCGTGGCACTGCTGGGCTTTCTCGAACCCTCGACAGTACCCGGCGTCGGCGGCCATCACCCTCTGGGAAGTTCAGCACATAACTATTTTTCCGCTTCTGGCCTCGTTTGGGGAAACCAGGCTTCTGAGTGAATTCTCCCTCTACCTGCTGATAGGGAAAAGGTGAGATCAGCAACACCTGAAGATGTACTCTGCTTGCCCTCAGTTCATTACAATCCCTACACGTCTAAGTGTGATTGAGAAGGCTTCCTTGCATAAGCCAGCATGAAAATTTATTCACAAAACCCAGTAAGACAGATAAAGGGAAAGTATACTCACTCCCATTTTATAAAGGAAAGCAAGTGAGGCTATAGAATTTAAGTGACTTGTCCAAAGAACCACAACTCAGGAACCCAGGTCTCCTAGCACCTAGTCCAGAGCTCTTTCCAAGGAGAGACTGAAGGCACAGTAAGAAGTGGTATTTGTAGGATTGGTGGTAAATGGGATGAGAAAGAAAATGAAAATTTCTGACTTCTGCTTAGGAGTGGGAATGAGAGCAGAAGTCTTACCTGGGCCAAACAGACAGCACAGAACCAATCTCCTTCTGGAACAGCCTCCATCTTGGGCCGATGGCAGTATATGTGGCAGCCACGGTCACACCCATCACAAAGCAGAAGAAACTCATCGTTGTCACCCTTCCGGCAGACTAGACAGGTCTGGACCAAGGTTGTGGAGGCAGAGTAAGCCCGCAAGCCTGTCTGCCAGCGACCCTACCCACCCCGGCTGGCTGGCTCCACAGCCTCCCCAGGCTCTCCCAGCCTCTTCCTTACCACTTTGTTGACAGACTTCTCCCAGGCAATGGACCTCTCCAGCTGGCTCAGGCACAAGCACACCTGGGCTGCACTCCGGCACCGCTCAAGCGTCTGGCGCCAGGCCCGAATGCGAGGGGTGATCTCATATGATCTGGAGGGAGAGAGTGGTGATCTTTGGATGAGGAATAGGATCCATTAAACTTATCCCTTTTTCCCCAAGGCCAAGAATGAGGGATCACTCACATCTCCGTAGTGGTGCACTGGGGGGCACTGTTGGGCATGCTGAGCAGAGCCTTCTCCAGTACAACCTCATGGGCTGGCCAGAGGGGCTCCTGGAGGTACCTCCGCTCCACATTCTGCTCCAGGGCGGCCAGTCGCATCACAGCCAGGTCAAGAGGGTTGGTAGTTTTACGCTGGGGGGCCAGTCCTTCCCTGCCTCGACCTCTCCAGGTGATATCCTCCTGGGAGTCGGGTAGATGCTCACAGTAGGCCAAATCTTCACGAATAGAGTCTGGGCTAGAACATGTCCAGCCCTGGAGGTGAGAGAGAGGAATAAAACTCCTCATAGTAAAGGAGGAAAATTAAGCACAGAAAAAAAGGTGACCCACCAAGGTCATGGGAGGTCATTTATGAAGGAGGGATCTAGGATCCAAGGTTTCTCTTAACAGGATAAAAGAGATTAACACCCTCCCTTCAACAACCCCCTACCCGGTGCCAGCCCCAGTGTACCCGGATCTGCAGATCAGACAGGATAACCCGCTGTTCCAGCTCCTCTACCCACTGAAGCACAGAAAGATCTGTCTCATATGTTTTCTCTTTGGGAGACCAGCTCGTAATTCCTTCTTGAAAAGCAGGTAGCTGTAGCTGACTGGGCTCAAAGATGGGGTCTGAGAAGACAAGGCAGAAGGCATGGCCCATCAGGCCATTGTCCACAGTAGCAGCTCAGTATTTCCCGGGGACTCCTCAGCTTGGGCTAGGTCCAAGTATCTGTCTTACCAGTTGAGGGCCGTAGGCAGACTTCCTGTAAGAAGTCCCTGTGCTTATTTAGGTGTTTGTGAAGCGCCTTCTCTCGGATGCCTCGGGGGTGCAGGGCTTTGAGTGTGGCATCTAATGTCTCAGGATCTCGGATCCACCACCAGCCCGAGCACATGTCTGTGAACAGAGTTTAACAATGTGGGGTGGGGTGGGAACCAGCTATAAATCCCATGGCCCACATCTGATGCCACTCCTACCTGTACTCTTACCCCAATTCCACCCCAAGGTCACTCACCAGAGGGGACAGGCTTGGCTGTCAGCTGGGTTAGGTAACGCTGCTCCATCTGTTTGAAGAATTTACTAGGGGGTCTCCCTCTCCGTTTTGGCTGTCCCAGCCCTGTGGGACTCTGTGGTGTTTCACCAGGGTCTCCTGCTCGCCTCTTAGGGACCACCCCAGGCAAGGGGGTAGACGAGAGCTGCACTGGAGAACAGGGGTTGGCAGCATTGGGTCTATTCACCTGCACGTGAGATGAAACATAAGGGGATGAGAGTGTTTTCATGTTTAGAGGACCCTAGTGGCTCCCCAACCCTTCCCCTAATTTTAGCAACAGCCCACAGCCAGGCAATGGAGCCCGCGGCAAGATGAAGTCAAGTGCATACCACTAATTCTGGCTACTTACTGGCTTGGCGGAAACAAGTAGCTGAGGGGAGGGAGTGGGCTGGTCCTCAGAAACTGCAGGGGGTGGTGTAGGGGCAGCATTGCAGGGCATCTGGGCTGAGAAGTTAAACCAGGGGGCTTGAGAATTAGGGTTGGATTCTGCCTCTTCAGGCTCTGGTTCCTCCGGGGGCTGTGATGGGGTTGGGTCCAGTTTTCCAGGGCTGCTATCAGGTGTGAGGACTGAGCTGCTCAGCAGGGAGCCGTGGCTCTGAGTCTGGCTCAGCCAAGACAGGAAGGCTGACTGGCTGAGGTCATGCTGGCTCTGACCCAGAGACAAAAGGGAGCCTTCTGGCTCCAGGAACCCATTATGGGACTGAGGATGGGACTGAAGCTGGGGCTGCGGCGGAGAATTAGCCTGAAGCTGAGGATGGGGCTGTGTCTCGGGCTGAAGCTGGGTTTGGGGTTGGTCTGAACCCTGGCTGCTGACAGGAGATTTAAGGTGCTTAGGTTGCATCGACCCAGGCTTAGTTTTCCGAGGTCGGCCTCGGGACCGGGCAGGAGTACTGGCAGAGGTGCTGGAGCCGGCTAACTCCCTCTTCAGAGAAAAGGGGGCTGGGCTGGGTGTTGGATGGGCTGCCACTTTTAAGGAGTCAGTTTCCTGCTTTATCATATCCTCAGGAACTGTAAAGAGAAGTAAAGAGCTTAAGACATACACTGATACATAAGAGGAACAAAAGAGGGTGTATAAACGCAGGATATACACTTTCTTTTTCTCTTGGACTCAATCCCCCTCTTTGCGATTCCACTGGAACAGCTTATATGCCAATGAACAGTGTCTGGGAAAGAAACACTGTTCTCCCAGCAGCAGAATTGTAAGCTAGCATTTACTGAGAACCACTACATTTAAACACTGTTCTAAAGACGTTAACTCATTTTAATCCTCTCAAGAGCCCTATGAAGTATATACATACTATTATTAGTTCCATTTTACAAATGAAGAAACCGAAGTATACAGCCGGAAAATGGCAGAGCAGGCAGGTAAACAGTCTTACTCCAGAGTCTGTACTCTTAACCACTATGCTATACTGCTTCTCGTAAAATGAAAGAAGCCTAGGCTGACTAGGCAGAGGAAAAGGAATTGTTTTAACTTTTGTTCGATAGCTCTCAATCCAGGCTCCGCAACACACGTACCTAGGCTCCCCTCTGTTCCTTCCACAAAGATACCAGCCAAATAGGGCAACACCCAGTAGCGGCGTCTGTAGCGGTCCTGACCCAAGGAGACTGCCCGAAGCATCTGGGATGAGTGAAGCAGCTTTTTGCGAAAGAAGAGCTGACGCTGGGTAGGCAGTGGAAAAGGAAGATGAATAAAAAACACATTTCCAGAGTGACAGTGGTGACTTCACCCAGTATATGGGAGAAGGGCAATGGCTCTCAGCTTCCCTATAAAATTGATACCATCTGGGCCCAACTCATAAGGTGATCAGTTCTCACCCAGCCCAGATCTCCAGCTCCTGGGAGTTAGAAGCACAATACCTTGCTGAGTTTTTCTATCTGGCGCTCTAGCTCTGGGATGCTAGATGTTGTGGCATCAACCTGGAGAAGAAACAAGTAGATACCAAGAGAAAATGAATTACCAGATTCAAGAAAGAGAAATGCAGTTGACCCTTGAGAGGGTTAGAGGCGCTGACACCCTCCCTCCCCTGCCCCACTCCTGCGTAGTCAAAAATCCATGTATAACTTTTGACTCCCTCTAAACTACAGCTGTCCCTTGATATCTGCAGAGGATTAGTTCTAGGACCCCCTGTGGTATCAAAATCCATGGATGCTCAAGTCCCTTATATAAAATGGTGCAGAACAATGCATAGTCAGCCCTCCAAATCTGCGGACTCCTAACCATAGATTGAAAATATGTACTGTTTTTGATCCACAGTTAGTTAAATCCAGAGATACGAAACTCATGGATATGAAGAGCCAACTGAATATTTATTGAAAACTATCTGCATATATAAGTGGATTTCCTCAGTTCAAACCTGTGTTCAAGAGTCAACTATAATCCATTTCCAACTCCAATTTTCCTTGGTCTGGGGCTAGTACCTCTCCATCTCTTCGACCCCTACGGCCATGGACGGCTGCTGAATTCTCCTCCTCTTCCTCCTCTTCCATGCCACTAGTCTCCTCCATGATCCGAGAGCTGCGCCTCCGCCCCAGGCTTTCCTCTGGCCCCTGCATCTCAACCTCAGGACGCCCAGTTCGTTTGGCCAGAGCTGTTTTCAGTCTTGAAATACACAGAGATTAAGGGAAACTGGTGAGGAAAGTGATACTGCCACAAATGGGAACACTTGGAACCTAAGCCATCCTGAGCCCTGGGGTAAGGTCCCAAACCCAAAGGAGGGACCAAGAGCATCAGTTCCAGGCAAATCCTGGCTATGCTTCACCCTTTCCCCCTTCTCTCCTCTTTCTGGGTGCTACCCTCTGTCCTATCCCTACCTCCGGAGCCGGCCTTCAACAATCCACTTGTTTTTCCTGTAGCTGGACATACTCTCCAGAGTCTTGTCAATCTCACTGCAGGGGAATAGGGAATGGGATTTTCAGGTAGAAGTGGCAGCATACACAACAAAGAAAGGAGGCTCAAGGGTAAAGGGGCTACAGCTGAACAGGAAGTTTCAGCCTAGAGCCTAGATTGAATGAATGGCGGAGGAAGGCTTAGGTTCTACCAGGGAAGGCACTAAGATTCAGTCCCAAATCACTCGGGCATCTCCAGAGCATGGCAATGGACACATATCACCCAGGACTCTGGATGGCTAAACCCCTCCCCATCCCATTCTGACCAAGGCATACAATAACCATCCCCACCCCTGCCCCTCACTTGATGATGAGGGTGGAGCCATTGAGCTCATGTACAAGGAAGGCCAGGACAGCAGCTTTCTGGTGGGGTGGCTGGGCCTGAAAAGGCTGGGTGCGCAGGCTGTCACAGAGGACTGGTTCCACTCCATATGCCATAAGGAAGCAGCGCAGGATCTCAGATACGTTGTCTCTTGTCAGCGGAATCTCCGACACCTTTTCCCCCAAGATCTTTAAGGACTGTTTGGAGGAGAGCACAATGGAAGTTAAGAGAGAAAGAGGAACAACTCAAGCTGTGTGAATCTGGAACTGGGAAATACAGGAGAACTAAGGCGATAAAAAAGGAAAAGAACAAAATGTTGCTAGAGCGAAGACAAAAGAAAGGTGCAAAAGAAAAGGAGTAAAATAAAGGAAAATGAACAAAATATGCAGGGGGGGGGTAGGAAAAAAAGAAACAGAAGGAAAAAATATGAGGGCAACAGAAACTGTATCTCTGTTCACTTGTCCCCATCACTTTAGGCAGGGACTTTTTCATGTGTTTAACTTAAAAGAGAAAGCAAAACTGAGACAAAGCACTGGATCCCAGGCCCTCCCAACCTGCCTAAGAAAGGACCTCACCTGACAGTAGGAGGGCAAGCCAGGGTCATAGAGCGCAGCCTTTAGGAGCCGCACCAGCAGGTCCTGCACCTCGCCCAAGCTGTCGCCTTGACATAGCAGTCCCTCCTGTAGGACCCCTAGGCTAGGTACATCTTTGGCAGGGTCAAAGCCTAGCACCTTGCCGAAGCTGTGCAGGAACTCCACAATGGTCAAGCAGTCTGAGAAGGCCCCACTAGGCAGGATCAGACCAGGGATGCGTGAAAAGTCAGGCAGAGGCTGTAAGGATACAAGCGGTAGGGGGTTCTGTCAAACAGATTGGAAGGCAACAGTTTGGATACCTAGGTGCTTCTTTTTTTAATGGGAGTATCTTCACAACTGGCACCTCCAGAACCCAACACCCGTTGTTTTCCCCTCACTACCTGGTGATCAGTCAGACACATATCCTCTGTGGGCTTCTTCATCTCCTCCAAGATCATCTGCTGCCTCTGCCGCTCCTCCAAGCGCCTCTGTGTAGCCAGTGTTTTATCTGCTTTACAGGCTGGCTTGGCTTTGGCCACCTCCTCCTTTTCCTTTATTTTTACCTTCTCCTTCTTCTCCTTCTTGACTTTTTCCTTCAGTTTGTCCTGCTTCGTCTTTACCTTCTCCTTCTCTGCCTAACCACACAAGGGAGAGAGGAACCCAGAGTGACAAAAAGATTCCAGTTACCACCCTTCCCTGGGACCCATCCTCCCTACCTCAGGGCCCAGAAACGTGACTAAAAAAAGACCGACTAACACATGTCTTGCAAAATCAGTTTGGTGACTTCAAAGTTATACTTGTGTGTACATGCACCTACCTTGGATTTCTTCTTAGCTTCCTTCTGCTTTAAGCTCTTGGTCTCTTGTTTCCGCTTGTTTCTGGCCTGTAAATCATAAGGAAGTCATTTCTCCTCAAACTCTGAAAGCATCTCTGCTTGGGCTAGGGTTCAGAACAGATAAGGATGCTGGGGAGAAGAGGTGAAAGATGGGACAAGGGTTTGACAAAGGATCAATTCTCTCACCCTGGAGAGGTCCACATTATTCTTGAACAAGTCCAATTCTCTAAATCAAGCTCCGCCCCCAACCCCCGTTCTCTGCCCTAATTCCAGGTAATGAAAGTATACTGCTATATGGAGGGTGGCACAGATGGAGGAAAAGGAAAGACAGACAGCAGGTTGTAGGAAAAGTTAACACACTGTGCAATCTCTCTGATGTTCTCTCACCTGCCCTTGGATAGTAGTCTGACATTCTCCACGTTGTACCTTCTGCTTCATTTTCTTCTTAATTTTACTCATCTTTGCTTTTTCCTCCTCATTCAGTGTTTCTGTGAGGGCAGAAAGAAAAATGAAGAGTGAGGCATGCAGACCAATCTCTGGCATCCAGAGCAGTACATGCCTGTCACAAAACTATTGGGTTGTCGGAAAGTCATGACACATTTTTGCAAAAACAGAAAAAAATACGTCATGACTTTTCCGACAACCCAACAGCTTCCCAAGCAACTCCCTGGAAAATCTGGAAGTGTTTTTATTTTTAAGTATACAAAATTAAACGTTGGGTGAGGGAGAGAAATGTAAGACAGGCACCTGCTATGGGGGTAGCATAAAGAACTCAAATGGTATCTCCTGCCCAGAAGCACCAGTCCCTGGAACAGACTGGACTGCTGTAGAAGGGGTCCTAGAGGCCACGATGGTAGAGTAGCTTCATAATCTATCTATCTCCCAGGCTACATGACAAGAGCAGCAACCCACAGACTGATTTTAGAGCAGAGAAAGGAAATAGAAAACCAAACTGCCATGGAAAAAGGGTGGTCTCCACTGATTAACCAAGAATGTGCCAAAAACAAAGGGCTCAGGTAAGGAGCATCTCAGTGGAATCAGATCAACACTGACATAGCTGTTGTTTATGCTCAGTTCCTATGTCTTGCTCCACAAAAAGATCTGAATTTCTTCCCCTCTGGAAGACTGAATATTGAAGTGTAATACTGCAAGCAAAAACAGTTTTAGAATTGATGTTTTTGATATGATAGTACCTATTCTATTCTGGCATGGAAACACTACCACCACCACACCTGTACAGCAAGCAACCCTCTAAGTTAGACAGGTATTATCTGCAGATGAACCACTATAGGTTTCTATTAAAATAGAAAAACTTGTTCTAGATCATACAGTCAGAATCCTGCAGAGCTGGAACTTCGAAAAGGAGTCAGAAGATTCCAAATTTTTTCAAATTCTTCATTAATGTATCAGGATAAATGCAACATTTACTTAAAAATTAGACATTTCCTACCTGTCTATCCCACTAAAACAGTGCCAATTATCTTTTGGATTCAGATATGAATTCTGAACCTCCATGATGGTGGCAATGAGTAAAGTAAGAGTGCACAACTCAAACCATTAAGACAAGAAATCTGAAAGATGGTAAGAAAGGACATGAGAGCCCTCTCCTAACTACATCTTGGGGACCACCCAAGACTCCACCAGTAAGAGCAACTCAAGGAAGGAACTGGTTGTTAAAGAAGTACCACAAAAGAGCTTGCGACCCTAATGCTGTTTTCCAAGGAGGGGAAGGTGATTCAGATTCATTCTATCCGGGCAATGTCAGTCATGCTCTTGGGAAACCCAGCCATCAGTGATTCATTAACATTTCAGATACCTCACAGAGCAAGCAGAATCACAAAGTAAGGAACACCACTGTACCTTGGGCCTCCAGTTTCTTTAGGAGGCGGTTGTCTGTCTTATTCAACAGTTCAGTGATTTTGACCTTGGGTGGCCGACCTCGGCCCCGTTTCACCTTGGGAACTTCCTTGGTCTTGGCCTTCTCAGTGTTTCGAGGTCGGCCCCGTTTCCCAGTAATTGCCTGAATCCTGGATGGGATCTCCTCTGCTGACAGTTGTACCCATTGCAAGCCCTAAGGTTACGACGAAGACTCTGTTACAATGGGAGGGGTCAATGCAAGCCACGAGGCCCTCTGAACCATTCAATGCCCCAGAATCTCAACCCCACAAGTGGAAGCTGCAGTTTATCCATCAACTCTTTCTCAGGGACAAAAGCATATTTAACGGTTGGGTCTGCACCTCTGGTGTGTCTCTCTCTTCAAAGAAATCTCCAACAGGCATACGGGGACTGAAGCTGAAGTGTTCACGGCGGACACTTGGTACCACGTTGCGGCTCAGGTACTAAGAGGAGACAAACTGGCATTAATGAAGTCACAGCCCTACCATGCCTTTTGGCCAGCAACAGAACAAGAAAAGAACCCAGAGTACACAATGCCAGACTGTTGCCACTGGGCCCAAGAAAGGAGTCTGTGCTTCCCTAAAAGAGCCCATGAAAGTTCCATTACCTTGATCACTTCCGGGAACTGTTTCATTCTCTTCCCACAGGGGCCATAATACCAGGTCTCCCCCTGCCATCGGTGGCTGCCCTTCTTGATGCGCACCTCTCTCCGCCACCTGCCAGAGAAGCACATGGGCCCTGCCGCCAGGTCACACCCCTACCCACTCTCAAGCCACCCAGGAGCCAAGCCCACTGAGCAGATGACCTTCCCCATTTCTGTTGCACTAGAATTGCACGTAGATGGAAATGCAGCATGAGACACAAGCTTGGCTAGAAGGGAGGCCTGATCTCCAAACCCCTCAGGGCTTCAGGAGAAAGCAATACACCAAACTGCACAAGCCCAGAAAGCCCTCCACCCCTCCCTTTACAAAGTCAGTGATACCAACAGCCAGAAACCACCCCCTCTCAACGTCACTGATTCCATTCAGGGCAATTATGGGGTTTTCAGTGAAGAGGATGAAGACCTGAGGGAATAAAGGCAGAAATGACAGAGGGTGGGGAGGCAGGAGAAGAATAAACTCGCTGCTGACTCCATGAAATGACTCCGCAGGCCAGGGTTTATTAAGAACTCTTGTGTTCTAAGGAACAGGTTATTCTAAGACTAAGCTGTATCTTTCTCTGAAAACTTTAAGCAGAACTCAAGACTTGGTGACCACAAGCAGCTTAGAGAGGCAGGGGTGGAGAAAATCAGGAAGGCATTTATTCTTCAAGGCCCTTGGTGTCAGCTGGTTTGTTCATTCTGGTCAGGTACCATTCCTGCCCTTACCTCTCCAAAGAGTATTAAAAAAAAAAAAAATCCCAATTCATCAGGACTAAGCCACTCCCGCTTCAATGCTACCCCTTCTCTAAGCATATAGGAGAAATCAGCTAATTTGGATATCTGAGCCCTAGGGTCACCAGCTGGGTTTGGAAAAGATAATAGCTGCAGCCCCCTGAGCAAAAAACTAAGTGGCCACAAGATGAGGAAAGAATAAGTGAGGGAAGGCAGTATCACTGTAGATAACAGTCCTTTAATTCATTCTTGTCTAATCCATTCCTTTCCATCATATGAGAGGAGCTCCCTTCCCTTCTTCCTAGAGTCATTCATTAAATTTCTCAAGGTCAATGCATGTAGCCAACTAGAGCATTTACCCATGTTGGAGGGGAAGACGAACTTCTTCTGGGGTAGCAATTCGTCTCCTCAGGACATCACCTTGGGAGAAAAACAGGGGATACCCAAGTTAAGAGTTCAAGCAAAATACTGAAACAACAGGCCAATGGGGGGGAGGGAGTAGGGGCGCTAAATAAATACCACATGGGACAGAACCAGCTAGGGCGGGTAAAACAGAATCTGGACACTCACCACCACCAGTAGTGACTCCTTCTCCAGTGATCTCTTCCAGGTCAGCAGAGATTTCAGGGAAGCTGCTGACATCCTTATTTGCTGGGGAGGCTGTTGGGAAGACAGCTGCAGGGGAAGCTGCAAGGGACACTTTTGGGGAGTTCGTCAAGGAAACTTCTGAGGAGATCGGTGGGAGGGCTGCTGAAGTTGGAGAGGCTCTTGGGAAAGCTGGGGAGATGACTGGGGAGATTTCCGGGGAGGGTGCTGGAAAAACTACTGGGGAGGCTTCTGGAGAGACTTCTGGGGAGGCTGCTGGAGAAACTGCCAGGGAGATTACTGGGGAGGCTGAAGGCGAGGCTGCTGGTGAGGTTGCTGGATGTAGCTGAATAGTGGATGACTGGTCAGGGGCTGGCTGGGTTAGAGGTGGTGGGAAGTCTGAAGCCTGAGTTTCCATTTCTTCCTGTTCTGCATCACTACCATTATTCAGGTCAAAGCTGTTATCTAGAATCCAAAGGGACAACACAGGTAAAGGAAAAATGGTGTCATATAAAACAAGAGAATCTACAGAGTCAGACCTGGACTAAGCTAAAGAGGGCTACTTCAAGGGCTTTTCCCTAGGGTTGGCAAAAGGGAAGTAGCCTTTGGCTGTCCTCCCCAACCATTCATGAAGGTTAAAGGGCAAAGCTGCTGCTGCTGTCATTGTGTGAAGGAACACCTTTTACCTGGAGCCAGTAAGGCCTCTGGCCTCCTTTCTCCTGAAAACCCAAGTCTCACAAGTCCTTTAGGGCACAGGGAAGTCAGAGTGTAGCAGTCCGTGCCTTTTTTAGTCCCACCACACACTATCCCATAGCCCCTTCAACCCCCAGCAAGGTGCTTCCACAGATTTCCCACCCCTAAGGGCCTAACTATGGAACATGTTTGCTCATCTTTTCCCAGGTCAAGGACTTCCTCACTTACCTTGCAGGACAGACTCCCCAAGGACAGGTGGAGAGGTGGGGCTGGCAAAGATAGAGGCTGAAGTTTGACTGTCATCTGCCAGGAGGCTGAAGGCCGTGGCGTTATTGAGGGAAGAGCAATCAAGGGCAGAGATCACAGGGCTGTCGTCCTCAAGAGGCAGCTTGTCCTCTGTACCCATCAGCTCCGTGTCATCTATACCATACAGTCCTCCACTCACTGGCTCTTCAGGGGGTGGAAGAATCAGAAAACAAGATTTAACGACTACTGGTCTGAATATATCCAATTCTAGTTCCCAGAATGTGAAGGTTCTTTCTAATATTAGGGAAATTTTACAGCCTTCTCCCTGAAAGAGTCAAGTCACCAAGCTATAGGGATCATTAAAGCTTGAAGTGGAAATGAAGGGAAAAGCACTGGCCCTATAACAACCCACAGATCAATGCAAAATTTTAGCATCTATCATAAAATAGGCCTTTATTTCAGTGGGGGTAAAAGGTTAACTGTTCACTGGCAAATGTCTTCTTTCTAGTCAGTGACAACCCAAATAACCCAACTGTGTGGTAATAAGTCCCTATCCAGTGAATTATTAAAGCCCAGGGCTCTTGGCCAAAAAGAACCTTGGGAGAGAACCTGGGAAATGAACCAATTCAGCTCAGAGTGCAGCTGGCCCTGTTAGGCCAGTGGTATGAGACTGTGGTCTCACAGGATTATCTGCAAGCCTCAATGCCCCAGATTCCTGAATAGTTTTCCCTGGTTTACCATCTTTTCCAGGTGGTAGAAGCTGGCTGTCCTCTGCACGGGTAAGCTGAAGGGAGCCTACCTGATGCCAGGGTGTTAAAGGGCTCCAAGGAGACTTCACTGAGGATTGGAGTATCTTCCAGTTGATCAGGAAGATGTGAAGGATCATCTAAGCAGCTCACTGTGGGGTCAGGGACCAAGACTGAGACTTCTTGGTGCAATGATTCCACAGAAGGTATGGAGCCATTGTAGCCACACATCTTCAGTTCTAGGAAATACCCGGAAAGGGCAAAAGTCAAAATCAGTGCCTTCACTTGGCTCATTTAGCTATAGTAGGCAGTCAATCTTTGCTAGAGGGATGTTCATTCTCTCAACATTTATGGGTGCCAGTTCTATGTTGGGTACCGATCATGTCAAGATACTCTGGGGCAGGGGTCGACAAACTTTTGAGATGGAAGAGCCGCCAGGAGTCAGCAAACTGTGTCTTGCGAGCCACAGGCTCTGAAGTGAAATTGAAAATGAAAATAAAACTATCATAGTTTCATTTATAAAATTTTTAAAGGATATTATTCACATAATGGTGATTATGTAAAAACATATTTATGGCTCTCGAACAATTTTTAAATTGTTGTGAGGGACAGGATTGGTTGTTCCAGGGGTCGGCAAACTTTTGAGACAGAGCGTACCCAAAGAGCCGCATATGGCTTGCGAGCCGCAGGTTGCTGACCCCTGCTCTGGGGTGACCAGTTAGCTCAGTTAGTTAGAGCATGATGCTGGTGACACCAAGTTGCCAGTTCGATCCCCGCATGGGCCGCTGTGAGTTGCGCCCTCCCTAAAAGAGTCAACTATGCCATTATAGCATGAAAGCATGTGTGACCAATGACCACAACTGCTCCCCACCAAAAAAAAAAAAAAAAATGCTCTGAGTGAACAGAGATGTACTAGGGAAGTCCTACTTCAGGTAAAAAGAGGAGAAATGAGTGTGGTGTCTGAGACAAGAATCTCATCATGTTCTCCGCTATTTCCCCATTCCAGTGGGAACGGGTGGTAAAGAGAGAAAACATCCTGTGATTTTATACAGTGGTCTCCCTTGTACTTGGAATCAGTGGCAAACGAAGTATTTGTCTATTCTGAGGGAAAAGATGAGGGGGATGGTCACATGTACCAATGCTAACAACAAAAACAACAACAACAGGAAACCGAGTAGATGGCAATGTATGCTTTGCCTGCTTCCTTCCCGCCTTCAAGTGCCAATCACTACTAGGGCTCAGCTCACGTTAGCAGCTAGCCTGGCCCTACCATCATCAAGTCAAATTGGCCTCAATGCCTCCTGCTAATGCCCCAACTACTTTCTATAATTTGGAAGAAGGCTTTCTTGATGCAGGGTGTCTGTTGGGGCTGTTTCATGCTCGCCCACCTGCCCTCTCCAGGCCAGCAGCTCTGCATGAGCTTGAAATAATTTATACTCCCACTTGTGAGCTAGTGCTGCTGCCACAAAAACACCAGACACTTGGCTCTGCTAATCACCAACATGCAAATCAGCCTCCACTGCAGAGAGCTGGAAAGACAAGTTTTCCTCACCTCAAAAAGCCACTGCCCCCACAGCCCCATTTTCCTTCTCCCAACCCAGCTCACAGGCCCAGTTATACCTGGCTGTTCTTCTTCAAGCTCCAGGCTGCCTACCAAGCCGGTGCCATTCTCTGCCACAACTGAAGTCAGCTCCTTTTCTGCCGCTTCATCAGGATGGATACCACTGCCTACCTCCTGGGAGGGTGCAAAGGTCTGGATGCTGGATCCCAACATGGGAGAAGTCTGTGGAGAGGTGAAAAAACTAGGGGGTCCATTGGGCATCACCTCAAAATTCTGGTCAGGAAAAGAATCATACAGTTCCTGTGAGTCGAAGTTAAGCCCCATGGGACTCTGGGTACCGTTGGCCCAAAATTCTTGGCTCCCAGCACGAAGGTTAGTGTTGTGACTTGGGGATGACGGTTGCCGTGTGCCCCCAAGGATGCCGTTGAGTGGATATTGTCCTCCCGAGAACTGGGAGAGAAGGGGTGGGTCCTTGAGGTTGCTGCCAGGATTGGCAGATGGGTACTGTGAGTAGTTCCAGAGACAGTCGTAGGCCACGTTGGGGTGATGGAGGTGTGAGGTGCTGGAGGAGTGGGGAACAGAGTTCAAAATCCCTGAAGTAGTAGTGTGAGATACAGTAGATAAGCCATTAACATTCACATCCCCATTCAAACCTGGCAGAGAGGGAGGGAAAAGGGTCAGTTACAGATATGTATGCAAGTAACTCTACCAACTCTATCAAAGGAATAGCACTGACTAGAAAAAGGGAAGGTGAAGGGGAGGGGGATTCCCCCTCTGCTATATTTATAGCTTTTTGGTCTCCAGGGAACACCCAACCCAGATGCTCCTGGATGTAAGCTTAGCAACTGCTGCTGATGGCTGCTGAGTAGGGGGCTGGGGAGCTCTCCTGGTCTACACAGGAGTGACCAGCAAAGCTGGCTGCTGCTGAGGCTCAGGGCTTTTTATTTTTGTTTAAATGAAGCTGTTTGCAGACTCCCTACAGTGACTTGCATTCTTCCCCATCTTTACTCCCTAGAGGAATTCTTCCCTTGGAGTGGCATGACTGAATTCTCCAGGCCCCCCTTTTCCCCAGGGCCTGTTTGGCCCCATAGTGGCACCAGAAGGGACAGCCTCCACCTCAGTGGCACATGCAGATCCAGCACTTTGTGCTGAGCTAAGAATAGAATTTGCAGTCACCACAGCAGCAAGATCCCAGCTCAGAAGGCTGGGCTTGGCCCCTCCCCATAGGCACTGGAGAGTAATAAGCAGGGGGAAAATCTCTGCATGACCAGTACTGCAGACTTCAGTTCTCAACACCAATGGCAACCTCTAGATTGGAGATCAGATTAAAGGAACCAAGATATAAGGAAGCTGCAGGGGAGGGGGTCCTCCAGTGAAATAAAGGAGCTTCTATCTATTTGTAACCTCCATGTGGAGGATAGCAAGTGGGAAGTATAAGCCTGTGGCAGTATTTTTCTGCTGCAAGGAAGGAGAGAAGCATCTGGGCTTCTCTCTGCTTCCAAGCGTAAAGTACCTGAAACCCAGGCAAGACTAGAGAGATACCTGGCAGAGCCATGGTACAAGGCAACTGATAAGCCAAATCCAGGAAAAGACCTGATCCTGGCAGCAACATGTCTGTCCAGAATTATAGATGTTTCTTTCTGGGGAATGGGTAAGCATTAATTCTCTCTGTCCCTACTTTCCATCCTCAAGGACAGAAGGTGGCACGAGGCACTTCAAGCATCTGCCCTCTTTTGTATTGCACAAACTAAAAGGCAAACACATCATAACCTTCACCCAACCCTTCCACCCCCAGTCCTAGGGGTGGCTTCTCCAACTTCTAAAAACAGCTTCTCAGAGGGCCAGCCCTTTATCTCTCATGGGTTCAACCCGGTTATCAGATGCCGTAGCCACCTCACCACTCTCTGGCAGTAGCCAGGGGACAGAGCTGACAGAAGAATAGGCTAAGATGAAAAGGCCAGTATGTTTTTCTAATCCCTTCCAACCTTAAGTCAAGACTAAAAGTGTTGCTTCCATAAACCCCTAGAACTTGTTCTTAGAAGCTTGATTTCTCTCCAGCAGCTCTAGTTCTGAGGATTTACTTCTTCCCTTCCCACCTGGCACAGAGCTGTTGTGAGGTAGCTAGCCCAGAGGGGAGCCAAATCTTGTCCCCATCAACCTGCTCTAAAGGAATGATGCCCACTCCCTCCCCAGGCCATGTGGCCCTCACTCACTTTTCCCTTGCTGGGGGAAGTTCATGGGAGACCCGTTAGTGTAGAGGCCCTCCCCTGAGGAGGGAGAGGGTTTCAGTCCTGAGGCAGCAGGTGCAGGGGGAAGGCCAGTAAAGTTAAAATGGTCGTTTGCCTCCATTTCTGTAGGAGGGAAGAGAGAGGGGGAAAAAAAATACTGGCGGTTAAACAAGGCTATGTCACCTCGAATTTTCTAGAGGGAATGCCCCCTCCCCTCTATCTACTTACCCTTCTCCTACCTAAGTAGTAGGAGGAGGGTGGAAGTTGAAAAAAAAAACAAAAAACAGGAGTAAATATACTCCTAACCTGGGCAATGACCTATAGAAATAGTCTTTTAAAGTCGGCCTTGTCGAGTTAGTGAGAAAAACCAAGATACAAACCTGTAGGAGTCTTCCTCCATGTGAGCCCCACCTTCTTAACTCGCAGCCCAAGTTACCCATCTGTGTTACATTCTCCATTCTTTTATTTTTTTCCCCTCAAGGTAAGGCCAGAGTCGCACAGAAAGTTCTCAAAGCCATCTTTATGAGGAAGCCACAGAAATGGGGGTATTGGCAGAAAAAAAAATTTGCTATATATCCTGCTTTATTTTATTATTATACTTGAGTTAAACAATTTCCACGACATCCTATCCATAGCCCTAGACATCTGAAGAACATAATATTGTTACCTTAGTAAAGGGATTATAGTATGGGAATGCAAAGAAAATGTGAACAGTTCCTCTTAGCATTAACCCAAGAATAAATTTATCGTTGATAGAGAAAGAAAAGAGGGAAGATAGGAAGCAGAAGCCAGAATTGATAAAGCCTGACACACCAATCAGATACTTATGATGTACTAGTGCATACTAATTTGATATGTGAGAGACATGATCTGTCTTGATACAGAAAAAGCAACTCTTGGGGTTACTATGTTTTTAAAGGGGCAGAATAATTCAGGTAGAAAGATTTATCAAGCTCCCAAGATGAGGCAATAAGCTGACCTAGGTGATGTTTTAAATAACCTCTTTTTTAAAAGAACAAGAAGTAAAGCTTTTAAAGAATGAATAGGGCTGGCCGAGTGGCTCAGTTGGTTAAGACCTCGCTCAAGAGTGCAAGCTCTGAGCAACACGGTGGCCGGTTCGATTCTCGGCCCGAGCTGAGCTGCCAACAGGTGGCAGGATGGCTCAGCTAAAAAAAGAATGAATAAATTTGTCAAGAACATATACAACCATTGCTCAAGGTTTGCAAGAGTCATGTTCCTGAATATGCTAGATAATGCAAATTAGATACCATTAAGTAATATGTAAATTCAATATAATTTTGAGCATGAAATATGAACCCTGCATAGTACATGGCATGACAACTGTAAGATTTTCCAGGCGCAATACCGTCATTATCTCTACCTTCATCAATTTTAACTGAAATTTTTAAAAATAAAAGCAATTTGTATTTTGTTTATTTAAGGGAAATAAAATTTTAGGATTGACTTATTTTCCCATCTTCACTCTAAAACAAGCAGCAAACCTAAACCTGTTGTGCATCAATGAAGAAACTGGGTCTCTACAGAGAAAGAACTCAGGGTCCCGCAGGATTTCCCTATAGTTAAGGGCCACTCCTCAGAAGGGATCTGAAAAACAAGCATCATGGGATTAGTGATCCTTCTGAAATGAAAGACATCAAGGAGTAAAGTTCATTCCCTAATTCTCTAGGTCAGGTTCCTTCCAAAGCTTATATGACAGCAAAGAGGACACTGAGTAATTCATTTCAGAAGTCCTAGAAATGCTATGCCTGGAGAGCCAATCTCATCTGATCCCCATCTCTTCCCTCCCCAAGTTTTATGTACAGACACAGACACAGACACAGACACAGACACAGACAGATACAGACACACACACACACCCTTCTCTCCTATGTGCACTGGTCTATACCCTCTCACTCAATGATAGATCACAGTTCATTTTTCCACTTTCTATTTGTCCATGAGGAAACTAGTGACCTTCTCCTCTCTGCTACCCTGGGAAAGCACAGCATTTCCTGTCTCATAAATTATACACTAATAAGGATAAATGGATGGCTCATAGAAATCAGATAAGTAAAAGGAATGGGAAGTTATCTAGTGCCTGAAGTCTGTTTCCCCACTAGCCTCTTCTGAAGGGTCATCAGGCCCACAATCACTTCATTTAGAAGAGGATTCCTAGAAACATAAAATGCTCTTTGTGCTGTGCAGTTAGATCAGCACAACACAGTGTGCTCTAGGTTCAAATCCCAGCTCTACTACCACTAGCTGTGTGACCTTGGAAAAATCACTTAACGTTGCTGAACCGGTTTCATTATTAAGAACTTTAGTACTCACCTAAAGAGTTTGTAAGGATTAAATGAGAAAATTTATATAAAGGACCTAGCATAGTGTCTGACACTCAGCACTCAATAAATGTTAGTTGTTATTATTAGACAAAAAGAGTAAAGACTGCTAGTTTCCAAAAAGATAATCAGGTCCAAAAGGTCAAAATATAATATAAATATAATTTAAACCATTACCAGCATGGAAGATAATATATAACTAGGGACAATCCTCCCAGCCAGGATTCCTTTTAGGCAACTTGACTCTTGATTTCAGATGTCACTTAAATATGGGATCACAGTATGGGAATGCAAAGAAAATGTGAACAGTTCCTCTCAGCAATAAACCCAAGGTTATTTCATTTTAACCTTCATATTCAAGATGCTTTGCACAACAATAAAGCCTGAAGGTAAATTATGCCTTCCCATCTAGAACTAGTAAGGACACCAGTAAAGCAAAAGAGAGAGTCTCCCTTTGAACTAATAGGATTTTGGCCAAATGAAAAAAGAAATCAGTCAGTGCCCAACCCCCAGAATAGCAGACAGTTCTCATGACCAGGAAGTACAATCAGGCCAGTACCCAGCCCAGTCTCAGTAGTATGTAAATGGTTCTCTTAAGAGCCTCTCAGCTTCATCTAAGAGTTAAAGGACAGTGTCCCTTAAGCTTGAAGCAGTAAAGCCCCTGCCACATGGCCAAACGGGCTGCTTTTTTCTCAGCTGCAAATTGAAGAATTACTATTCTGTGGGCCTGTGACATGATTTTAACAGAAAAAGGCTGACAAAGCACAAAGTGTTGAAATAAATATAGATTTTAACACTGTTGCAGATACCCTGACCAATCCTAACACTCAGACCTCTGAAGCTACCTACAGAAAGACAAGGCACATTAACAACATTGAGCTAGACACTTTGGCAGTCCCTAAAGTTCTTTAGTTCTTCACATACAGTATACCAAAATTCCACAAATATGTTTCTAAATCTTTTTCTTTTTTTCTTTTTTGGAAAAGGTGGGGAAAGATTTCAAATGTTTATCTTTAGTAAACAGCAAATGCAAATTTTGCTATACTGTAAATAAATCATACCACTCTGTTTTAGCTCTATAATTGTGAGCTCTACACATCTCTGGATTCACCCACCATTCTCTAATGCAGTGGTTCCCAACCGGGAGTGATTTTGGATATTTAGTAATGATAAAAGGTATATGCTACTGGCATCTAGTAAGTAGAAGGCTAGCAATGCTTCTAATGATCCTGCAATACACAAGACAGCTCACCACAACATAGAATTATCTAGCCCAAGATATCAACAGTGCCAAGGTTGAAAAATCATGCTCTAGTTTGAGCTCTGAGCAACAGCGGTTCGAGTCCAGCCCGAGCTGAGCAGCCACTGAGCTGCCAACAGGTAGCAGGATGGCTCAGCTAAAAAAAAAAAAAAAAGAAAGAAAAATCATGCTCTAATACAAAAGCTGCCCCATTCCCCATTCCTACCCCACACCCTAGGGAAGTTCCAAAAGTGTCACTATCTCAAGTTCCTGATGCTGCAAACAAGGATGCTTTCTTTGACTTTTATATCTAAAAACCCTTTCCCTGGCTGTCTTCCTTTACCAACACAGAGTTTCAAGTGGCAAGCCACAAAATTGACATGCCTTCTTCCCCAGTCAGCATAGCCCATTCTGACAGCCCAGGTAATAATCTTCCCTTCAAACTCTGACTCGGACTACAGCATGTACTGAGGCTCATTCTCTCAAAATGTCTTTTCCTTAACACCCTTTTCCTAGTCAGGACAGCAGGGCAGGAGGAAGACAATGAAAGAAGAAAGATTATACCAAGGGGAGGCTACTCAAAGACAATTGCCATGTCCAGGTTGCTCAGGAGAAAACAAAGAAGACTGTTCTCTGTTCTTATTTCTTCTAAACTATATTAAGTTCTACAGCATCAATCAGATATTATGTTGTACCACTATATCTCCAGCACCTAATTTAGTGCTAAGTACATAAAAGAACCAAAGAAAATACATTATTGTTGGACCCATAGATTGTACAAATGAGTGAGTAGATATCTTTTCTACCACTACCAGCTTACTTATCCAACAAAGGTTATGGGGTTTTGGGGGTTTTTTGGGTTTTTTTTTTAAGCTGAGCCGTCCTGCCACCTGTTGGCAGCTCAGCGGCTGCTCAGCTCGGGCTGGACTCGAACCACCGTTGCTCAGAGCTCAAACTCTTGAGCGAGCTCTTAACCAACTGAGCCACTCGGCCGGCCCTAGGTTATGGTTTTTGCTCCTATTCTCAGAGAACCAAAAAATTCAGCTTCATTCTTCAGAGCTAACTTCTAGAGGAAAGAAAAGCCCCAAATCTTGACACATTTTATACCCTGCAGAAAATAAGGCAAGGAAACAGGGAAGTACTGAGAATATAAAGGTAATAAATTTAAGCTCTAAATTAGTAAAATGTTCTGCTTGATTTAACTGAATACTCAAGGCAAGGAGTAGGTTTTAAAATATCTGTTGACTGAATAAAAGAACCATATAACAATCTAGCCAAGGTTTTCTGGTCACTTCATGGTCAGAGGACTGGAAATGCCTCTGAAATTGCAGGACACTAAAAACCACACTCTAGAGGTTGTAACAAGGTTATCTCCCTCTCTCAGCTCTCTCTGATTGTTTCTCAGAAATTCAGCTATAACAGTTAAGGATGCCACCCTTCCTTTAAGAAGATATCCTCCTCTTGAAAATTCCTGACCTGAGAAGGCAGGTTAAGGTTCCCTTTTGGTGAAGCAGGTTATAAAGAGTCCAATCCCAGGAGACCACCTGTCTCTTAAGAACCCTCATGTTTTAGTTTTTTGATGAATTTTTAGTAAGTTTACATAATCCTTTTAGTCTGTAAAATACCCTCTTAATTATTCTTTATAACTAGAAGGACAAAACACTCAGTAACATAACACAATTCTACTTTCATTGCCAGGACCCAATCCAAGAACAAACTCCAGAGCGCCTCAACGCTTTTTGTTTTGCAGAATTTCATCAATTTCAAAATTATGCAGACTGACAAGCTGGTGATAAATGGTCCTTCTGACCCATCTGTAACAGTGTTGATAAAGTATTAATCTTGGGCTATGAGGTATCTGAGAACATTCATATCCCAAGAAACAAATCAGGAATATTATTTGCCCCAGTAAATACCTTGAGAGTTTTATACTTCACTCTTTATGTCCTAGTTTTATACTAAACATAAAAACTTTGGTTCACTGAGCACATCTCACACAAGGTCAAACATCACACCAGTTACTGAAATACTTTCTACCCTATTTTAACAGTAAAAGAATATAGCAGACCTCTTCAGAGGTGATAAGAAAGGTCAACAGCAGCAAGACACAGTCAGTAACCCTAACAAGCTTTGCTTCTCTCTTGGCAACACCTGATTCCAGAACCACAAGACTGCAAGATGAGCCTCTTAGGGCATTCTAGATTTCTTACTGGCTCTGAGGTCAGCCCTAATAGTTCTCTCTATACCTCAAATATTTTCCTTTAGAGAGGAAAGAAACAACAACAACAACAACAACAACAACAACAACAACAACAAAAAACAGGTCAATATTAAGAAACCCAGTTCTTTGATAGAAAAATGCATCCATTTTAGAAGAAGGCCATGAAAGGTTTGTTTCACTTAGCTTTCTGATCATGTATCAAATAAAGCCAGTATCCCCTTTCTCAAAATCAACTTCTATTTCTTTTAAAGAGTCCAAAGAAAAGAGTGGTCCTTCTCTTTCCTTCACTTTTAACCCCCAACAGGGAAAGTCAATTTACTCTTGTTAGGTCCCAATTTAGATAAACAAAGGTTGAAGAAAGGGGAACTTAAAATCAGTGTCACATCAACCCTATCAGAAAGCAACTCAAACCAACCAGTCTAGCAGAGGGGCAAAGAAAAGGACAATGACATTGGACTTGTTTGTACTGTTTCCAGAAATCAACCCCAACAGCTCCAGTGAAAACAGCAATAACGCTATCTTAAAAGTGATGTGCTGCTGTCACATAATCATATGTCTACCTATTCGTATCCTGGGCCTTTATTCTAGGAATCTCCAATTCAGGTGGAAGTTTGTGACTGGAAAATACTGAAAAGCTTATTTACATGTCAGGCTTCAGCAGTTTTCAGCATAGTCCAAATATCTCAATACCTCATCTCTCAAACATAAAATCCTGTGGCCAACTCATGTCTAACCAAACCCAGGGTCTAACAAAGTGCCTGGGGACATAGTACATACAGTCCCTCACTGTATGCTATAATAGAAATCCTCCTGGAGTTACCAGGTGGGAAAAAGAGAAAATCTGGATACATGACATTGCACAGAACAGAGGAAACGCTTACCACTCTCCAAGGAGGGTAACAGAGTCTTTTATGGGCTTAAGAGTAAATCACATGATAGCTAACTCTCCTAATTAGTTGGTTCTGCAGAAGGTAAACTCTCCAGCACTTCTGTCAACTAACAGGCTTCCCACAGGGACTATCCTTATGCTAGAATCACCTGTGAGAAACAAGCCCATCACTCTCACTCTGAAAGTCAGTCCTTATCCCAACACACAAACCCCATTCAGTTAAATTTTCCCCATTCCCCCCCTCTTCTTCCACCTCTCAGAATCTACTATTTTTCACCTCATAAGCTCACTTGCTCAGGTGCTCTGCAGTGCAGAAACTGTCATACTTAAGAATATATTAAAAGGCACTCTCATGCCACAAAAGATCCCAAGTCCTCCTGGCAGTTTTCTCTGCTGTGGGAATTTGCATCACTTGTATTCAAACTGTAGCCCTGCTGGTGGATGACTGACTGAGTCGGCTTCTCCACGACCTCTAGCTGAAGGGATAAAAATCAAGACGGAGACAGAGATGCTCTAGGGGAGGGATCAGGATCAGTGAGTCAACTGCAGTGAGCGACTACTTCCAGTTGACAAATTAAGTTTACCCAAAGAAAAAAAAAAAAGGAAAAAAAAAGTTGAACGAAAAGACTCAGACCACATGGTTGGCAGGATCCAAGCTTGCCCAGAAGGCCTCAGAAAATGAAACCAAATCTGATTAAAATGGACATTTCAAAACAACAAGAGACGCAGCAGCAAACGCACAGCTGCCATTTCCCGGCCACTTCCTGCGGGAGGCTTGGGGGAGGGGCTATTTGTGTACAGATGGAGGTGGAAGCTATCCCCCTCATCGCCCCCCGAAGGACGCAAATCTCTCCCTCCAATAAATCCTACAAAGGATGACTGCTATTGGTATTGCCTTTGCCTGAAAATGGTAACATCGGGAAAGAAAGGGATGATGCAGAATGATCTTTTCCGCCACGGAAATGGGGATCCCCTAGTGAGGGATCCCCTTGGAAAGGAATCCCTCTATTCTTCCCTTCAGTCCCTGAACCCAGCTAAAACCAGGGCGCCTCAGCACCAGCCTATCAATCTCCACCCTGGAGTGGGGAATTCTCCAGGGACTCGGGGGCCCCAAGCCCAGCACAGCACCACTCAAGCAAGGCCCTCTCCTGCCGGCCACGGTCAAGAAAACGTACACACTCACACAGTCGCCCCTGAGGGAAACACCCTGAGACCCCTGGAAACCCCTTGTACCCTTCACTCACCACTGCCAAAAAGCCCGGATCCCCACTAACGGAGTGTTTAACCCGCCCAGGGAACCCCCTCATCTACCTTTCGCACTCGGGCAATCCCCACCCCCACCCGAGGAGGTGGAGCCCCTCCCGGGGATTCCACCCCGAGTCCGCCACAGGAGTCATCTCCAACAGCCAGGCGGCTTCTCCGCCTCCTCGTCCTCGTCGTCGTTGTCGTCGTCGTCGTCGTCGTCGCCGGGAGCCTCCACAGCTCCTCCCGCCCCCGCCGCCCCATCTCGGGTCTTTAGCAGACCCGCCAGCCCCCTTCTCCACCCAGCCTCTCGGGCAGGGAGACCCCCGCCTGGGGCTGGAGCCTAACTGGAAATCAACTCCAGTCAGCTTCTCGCCTCAGGCGAGGCTCTAGGCGGCTCCGGAGCCTCTGTTCCCTGAGGGAAGCCACGGATGGAAGAGGGGTTCCCTCCCCTCAGGCCCCCTGCCACAGACCCAACAGACCTGAGGCGGCGGCGTCCAGCCTGACTCGGGGCTTGTCTCTCCCCGGGGGACAGACGGTTCACATGGCCGCGCTCCGGGCGCCAGGAGGGGAGGGGACAGCAGGGGAGGGGGTTTGGGGTCCGGGAGGGGGGAGGGGGGACGCGGCTCAACCGCGGGGCCCGAGCGGAGCCAACATGGCCGGCGGGGGAGGAGTGAGCCCAAGCCGGAGGGGGCGGGGAAGCTGCGGTCGACAGAGAGCCGCCCTCAGCGGCCTCCGCCACCGGGTCCTAGTGCCCGGCATTCAGGCTTCCCCGACCCGGATCTGGGTCCTAGAGCCGCGGTATCTCCTTAGTCTACTAGTCTACCCGGTAGCTCCCTCTGCACCGCATCTCGTGGCCAGTAGTCCCGCTGCACACTGAACAAACTGAAAGGCGTGCCATGGTCCCAAGGCTAACCTAAAAAGACCACATTTCTAGGACCAAGGCATGTGCCACTCCCTTAACGGGTGGGGCGGAGGAGTGGGGGGGGGGAGAGGGAGAGAGAGAGAGAGAAGTGAGGATTGGGGGTGGTGGTGAGAGATAATTTCGGGGACAGTTATTTCCCAGGCTGGGTAGTGGAAAAGTGGAAGTGTAGACGCGGAAAGGTTAGTCAGCAAAGTTCAGTCCTGGTAAAGAGGTGGAGAAAGGCAAGAGCTTGCTGTGTCTGTTGCCCACTTACCTCTTGTCTCGTGGGGCCAGCCTGGTCCTGTCTGGATCACCACTTTCCCAGCGACATCTGCAGGGCCATGGGGGTCGGGAAGATTCCTGTGCGTAGAAAAAGAAAGCTCGGCCATGGGACCAGACAGGGAAGATCTGAGTCTAGCCTAAACCTGGTCAGAGGAGCTGGGGATGAGCAGGAAAACTAACCAGCAAATAAGGTGCCCCAAATGTCTACCTATTCTACAGTCCCAGTATTTTTTCTGATAAGACTCTATAACTGTGTGAAACTTAATGAGATCAGGAAAGAAAAGTCTAGCACAGGGCAAGAATTTGGCTATTATCTAAAATGTCTATTGCAGGGCCCCAGGATGGGGAACAGGTCATATATGATGTCAGAATTTAGAGAATTTCTAGTTCAACTTTCTCATTTGGCAGATAAAAAAATTAAGGCCCAGGGAGGTTAATCAACTTGTTCAAGATCAAACATTGGATAAAATGTGACTAGAAGCCAGGTTTCCTTTCCTTGCAACTCAACAGGCTTTGCAGGCTTCAAGGTAATTCCCATTCAATTCAATGAGATGCAGTTCTACAAACAATTGTCTAAACTGTGCAAAACTCAGGCTGAATATTCTGGAAGAGGAATATGGGGAGGATGTTGAAACCCTAGCAGGTTGAGGGGTCAAGAAATACCTTTCCCTCTGGTGGTCTGGAGGAAGGGGATCTGAAAAGTGGGTGGGACAGAGCATGGGCAAATACATCAATCTAGATGGGATTTCCTTACTCCACAGAGTGGGGGCTCTTCCCGAGTTTTGGGGACAGGCTCTACTCTCCACTACAAATGGCTCAGAGAGGCTAAGAAGGAAGTGAGCTTCAGCAAAGCCTCAAAAGTGTGTGGGCCAGAGAGAGAGAGAGAGAGAGAGGAGGCTATGAGAGTTTGGGAGGGTTTCTCTCCCTCTCCTAAAATAAGCAGATTACCACGGGGAAGGGGTAGACAGGTAGAAATCAAAACCCTTCTCCCTGACTAACAGATTTATAGGTCATGTTAGAGAAAAAAATAAAGACCTTCCAACAGCCTGCTGACCTCAAGTCCCTGCGTAAATAGGGGCCACACTCGGGAGAGGGCTCCTTCCTTCGAGAGAAAGCAGGAATTCAGTAAACTTATGCTAAGGAATGTTCGCCACCACCACCCCGAATCCCCAAAATAAAAAATAAAGGCAGGCGAAGAAGAGAGCTCAAGGGATGTAATTGGCTTGCTAGAGGGCCGAGGGAGAGAGCTGGTATCCTTTTTTTTCCTCTTCCTTTTTCCAGGGCGGATGAGGGAGAATCTTCCTACCTCCCGCTCCCAATCGTAGGGCCGGCCTGTAGGAGACTTGAGGCAGGGGAGGAGCCTGCGCCAGTCAGACGGGTGTAACCACGCCCCTTCCCCCACCGCACACACCCACACACACCCACCCGCTGGCTCCACTGCGCTCCGGAAGAGCCAGTTACTCCTGTGCGCCCCACTGATTGCCCCCACCTCTTCCGAGCCCCAGGCCTAGTCTCCAGGGCAACCCCTAGCACTATCCTAGCCAAGAGCGGTTGGGAAGAGGGGTGCTGGATAGGAGAATGTCACCTGGGGATTAGAAAAGAAAGTGGGGCAGGATCTATTCTTCCCGTCTGGTGCAGAAAGACTACTGAATGAGACCACTCCTCATCGCATCTAATCAGAGCTCTTTCTAGCTCTTTGAGAAAAGATGAGGGTGGGATGTCAATATGCCCAACAGCTGGGTGTTTACGTCTAGCCAGAAGCCACCTCAGGCAGCAGCTGTGCATCTCCCCCCATCCAGACGACAGAGGGCGGACTGACCCCACATGTCCCCAAACATTCCTCAATCCCATCAGATGTAGCCAATCACACACCATCTCCCTCTAGAAAGCTACTAGAAAGGGGAAGGGGTAAACAGTCATTTTTTTTCCAGCAACTTATGAGAAGGGTACCTAGGGAATACTCTGAACCTCTCTCAAGCCAGGCCAGTGGGCCAGTAATGAAGAGAAAGGGGAGGGAGATATTAGCACCTGCTCCCCTCCCCCATTCTAACCCTCCCTGTGTTCCTGCTGCACCACCCTGACTCTGGGGTCAGCTGCCACAGTGCCTGGCTCCACTCTGGAGGCAGATGGCTGGGGCTGGGTGAAGAGAGAAAGGGGAGCAAAAAGAGGATTCATTTGCATTCTTCTACCTTCCTTCCTAGACCCTTCCAGATACTCCTGGAATTTAAACCGAAACATCACTGCTGACGACCCTCTCCTCCTCCCCAGCTCCCTCCCAGCCCATGATACATTATTCAGAAGAGTCTGAAGCAAATCTACACAGTTTGTCTCCTCATTTCTGGAGGTGGAGGTGAGAGCACAAGAGAAGGGTCAGAACTGAAGGTGCAGCTGGATTTGGAGGGAGGAGGAATTCCCCAGTGGAGTTCGGGTAATTATTTAAAGACCTCCATTGCCCTCACTGTCTGAATGATTCATCGTGTTAATAGGGTCTAGTAGGGAGATGGCCCTCAACCCTGTAACCATTTTAACTTGTCCCCCTACTAATCCAGTTTAGTGCAAAGCAATCTCCTCCCCTTCTATATTTCGGGATGGCTAGATTATCCTATTAACATATCAAAAGAATCATAACCCCTCCTCTTCTGTCCAACTTGGTGTGTGCCCCCTCAGATTCAGCACAGCCTGTTTCAAACTTAGCAATGAGTTTCTCCATGGTGGTCTCAGAACAGGATGGAGAAAGCCCTAATTTCCTTATAGGTGGGGACTACCTTTGCATCTGAATAGAGAAGGGTGGGCTTCCCTCGCCTTCCCCACCACCTCAACATCCTTAGAGACTTAGTCCCAGCCGCTCCCTCACCCACCATCACCCCAACTGCCCCTTAAGCCGAGAGATTCTGGGTGCGTCCTACCCCAATTCCCTGACTTTGGGGTAGGAGCGTTCCTAGGCTGGACTGGCCCATTCCAGGCCCAAGAAGAGGGCCTTTTCCACCTGGGTTGGTTGGCAGGTGCTGAGGTTGGACCCCCAAACTCCAGGAGGTGGGGTGGTGTGATGGCTACATTAGAGCTTTAAATATGACTTAGTTGAACTTGAAGGACTAAGTGCTGCAGGGCCAGAAAGTGACTACAGTCTATGCTAACCCCCATAACCCTCATTACGGGGAAGGCTGGAGTTGGGGTGGCGGTTATTTCCCCTCCCATTGGAGGTTAGAATGGCGTGGGAAAGCGCTGTTTCTAGAGGGGAGGAGGCAAAACCCAGACCGCGGGAGATTTTTCTAGCAAGGAAGGCGCAGGGGAGGGGGATCCTGGGTCCAGAATTGGAGGGTTACCCGGGAGAGGTTGGCCCAGAGGCGTGAGAAGCCTCGGGATTCCGGTCGCAGAGGACAGGGGAGAAATGAGCGAGTAGATAGTGCGGGGGAGAGAGGAAGGGCAGCTCCCGCAGGGGGAGGGTCAGATCCTGAGTCCCGAGGAGTGGGGATCTCAAGGCAGGGGGGCCGCAGGGGAGGTCCGCCCAGTGACTCCGGGACCGGACGTGGGTGCCGGGCCTCACCTGGAGCGGGGCCGGGCGGCAGCAGCGGCGGCGCAGGTGGCCGAGCCGGGCGGCGGCGACGCCTCCTCCCCCAGCCCTGGGCCGGCGGCAGGGCGGGGGGAGCATAGCACTTAAAGGGGCAGGAGCTACTCGGGTAAAGACTAGCGCTGTCGCGAAGAATCCGCTGGGGGAGGGGGAAGCGGGTGGCGTCTCCTAGGGGCCAGAACCAGGAAGGATCCCAGATGGAGGAAGAGAACAGATCCCAGGAAGAAGAGACAGAAACTTCTGCCGTGAAGTGGGGGATGGTGGTGGGTTCCAACGTGAGAACCTGGGAGGGCTCCGCCTGCGCTCCAGGAGCACTGGCAAAGCAGTTTTTCACAAAGCAGGTCTGGGAAGGCAGTGAGATCACAAGGACTCCAAGGAGGAGTGGGAGATACCGGAGAGGGAATTCAAGGCCGAGCCTGCTTGGGGTAATGCACAGGGGCCCTACTAGGTGAACAGGTTCCCTGAGTTTCAGCTCCTCAAGGCCCCATCCGTACAGCTGTGGAAAGGCCTGACAGTCTCCTTCCCCCGACACTACTGCCTAAGTTTAAAAGCCTGTGGAATCAGGAAGCCACGAGGGCAAAGACCTCCCAGGCCTTTCAACCTCAACCCTGCCTCTCAATGTTCTCAGTGACTGGAGCATGGGGGGCCCGCAATAGCAGCCCTAGTGAGGCTGATGTGGGACCGTGAGAAGCAGCTTTACTCAGGTTCAGTTTTCCCCCCAACCAGCACCACCCTTGCAGCAACCTCTGGGGCAACAGGAAGCAGCTGTTCAGTGCAGCCCCCACCTGGTTGTGGGTCAGGGTGGGGGAGGAGAGACGACAGGGACTTAAAAGGCCTGGGAGAAAATAGGGGGAGGAGAAGCACCTTAAAAACCCTCCAACTCCGACCGAAAGTGGGCTTTACTTTTAGGGGGAAGGTCAACAATGAGCACTGTAAAATATTACTTGAATCTCAGCAGCTTAAAAGAAGAGCAAGGGGCTGGGGGATGGGGTGGGTGTGTGTGTGTGTGTGAGTTGGGGAAGAGCCGCGACCTTAGGTGTTGACTCTCAGGCTCTTCCTTGGAGCTGGAGCTTGCCAATGCTCAAGATCCTTTGGTCGGCAGCCTCACCAGCTGAGCCCTGTACCCCTATAATCCCTTTTCCCCTCCTTCACCCCCCAAAAGAGCAAAGGTTAGGCCCCACCCCTGCTGAGTCAGCCAGGGAGGGAGGCAGGCATCCCTCAGGCCTTCCCGGGGGCTGGTCCTCAAACTTACCAATGTCAGGTTGGCAGGGCTCCAGGGCTGGGACCACCCAGCTACTAACTGTCCTTGGTTCCCCCTTCACGTGAAGGCTGGCGTTAGATCCTCCCAAATTGTGAGCTGGGAACTAGCACGAATCAAAAAGCCAATGTATGCTTCCTGCGAACCACAGCCTGAACTGCTGTAGGGTGATGTCCCTGTGTGACAGGCTGGGGTGGAGAGGGAGGAGGGAAGGGCGGGGCTTTCTCTGGGTGGAGAGGGAGGAGGCGAGGACAGGGCAGAACTAGGAGAAATATGGAGGAAGGTTAGATCTGTGTTGACACTCCGGTGGCGTGGTAGAAGAGAGTGGTAAAGGGGGAAGGAAATAAATGCAGCTAGTAAAAGAAGATTCTCGATGAATGCTGAGAGACGTAAGCGTCTGAGAGGCAGGGGTGGAGGAATACAAACGACCTTTAGGATCACAGTTCCCACGTCTGCATCTGGGTAGCATAGAAAAACAAAGCAGAAATGGCTGACCCATACCCTTGGGGTTTGTGAACCAGCTTCTTACTCACTCCAGAGTCAGGACCTAGAGGAAGTGCCCCCACCTCCAAAACTCAGTATTTCCCCAAATCCAGGTTTTTCTGGGAGCAAACTATCGGGCACAGGCGGCTCAGGGGCGCCACCTTCCGTCCAGATCCTGACATAGGAGATACTGGTGCCAAGGACGTCATAGGCAGATGGGAGGAAACTTAGAGGCCCCTACTCCACCCTTGGCGCCTCTCCCAAGGCCCCTCCCCAACCTTCAGCCCCCAGGGGCCTCTGAATTGGGATGTTTGTCCCCGCCCTGCTTCTGCCCAACTTGAATGCCTCAGGGGTGGAGCTTATAGATGCAGACTCCTCGGACAAAAGCCCCAGCTGGTTTGTAAACAGTCATTAGCTAAGAACGACATCCCAGCAAATGGCCTTCATGGATTTTAAAATGGTGAGATCAGTTCTTGCAGTCTCCAGTACTACCACCAGAGGGAAGTAGATGGGTCTGGACCTAGAAAACTTCAGAAGCACCAAATCTGACCTTGCACTGTAATTGGCACTTGTTTTAAACTGAAATGGGTGTACTTTTAAGTACTCTTTCTAACCCTACACCTTTTAGTGGGCTAATACAATGGGGAAATTATCTAATTCCGTTATTATAGTTCAGAAGCCCCAGCCCAGCAACCCTGAAAATTGCTATCCTGGTTAACACACAGTCTTGCCCCAACTTTGGTAAGGAATCTTAGCCGAGTTCAGGATAGGCCTCATGGCATTTTATACCCTTCATTGCCTCAATCACAAACATACAAGTCTAGGCTTGCCCAAAATATAAATCAGGAGACAGGAGACTTTCTGAAAAAAATAGACTAAGAGGGCACGCACCGTTCTAATTTTTGCAGAGATCAGTGTTAGTCTTTCACAACACGCATCACCACTTCCTAAAAATTAAATTCATTTCATTCACTGATTAACCCCTCCCTTGTCTTAGAACAGCCCGTTTCTAAACCCAATCCACTTTCCCCAATATGTTCTTCTAATAAGACCCACAGTTGTCCATCAATGCAAAAAATAATGGCTTTTCTTTTTTGATGACCCATTTCAAACATGTGGCCTATTCTGTGCTGTTTCTTGTGACCACTCTAAAATTAGTTAAAAATTTCAGTGTTGGCTGTGTTGTTAGGACCAAGAAAAACAAGACAGATTCTGAGGGATGTACATTTTATTGGAAACCTTAAATACTCTTCAGACAGAACAGAATGTCTTCAATCAAGGCTCTCATATGGCCTACAGAGAAAACAGATTTTTGGATTAGGGACAAGGAGAGGAACAGCTTGGAGGATGAGTGCTGGGATCCCCTCATGAATGCTCTTCAGCCAGCTTATCAGCTTTTGCCACAGCTTCTTCAATGGGTCCCACCATATAGAAGGCCTGTTCTGGGAGATGGTCATATTCACCTATACGGGGGGAAAAAACCCAACTGGTTGAGAAGTGGAGAGCTATCAACTTTCTACAGTGTGTACATACCTTACCACTTGAGGCTATCAGTCAGAATGTGATGAATCCACGTCATCTAAGAAATCTTTTAACAAATTTCCCTCACAAATCCAGTTGATAAGACACGGTACAATATGGATTAAGAACAAATGGCCCAGAGCCATATAACCTGGGTCCAATTTCTTGCTCTCTACTTTGCTTTGGCTGTGTGATATTGGGAATGGTTATTTTAAACTTTTCTATGCTTCAAGTCCCCTAATTTGTAAAACAAGATAATAATGCCTTCCTTACAAGGATCTTGTAATTCACTTAGAAGAGTAGCTAGCACTGAAAGGGGTGAAGCATTGGCTGACAAGAATCAAGTAATGCATGTCACTCTCAGAATAGAGTATTTCCAAAGAAAACTGATGGGAAATAGCTTATTTTTTATTTAAACCATTATGTAATTAGGCACAATTAATTATATATTGCTTGATGGCTGCTAGAATGGGAACATAGCACAGCAAGCATTCAAGAGATTTCAGCTTCTTTGCCATTTTATGTTCAGCTTTATACTTGAAATCTCACCTGCCAAAATCTGCTGGAATCCTTTGATGGTCTCCTTTAGGGGTACCAGCTTTCCCATATGACCCGTGAAGACCTCAGCAACCTGGAATGGCTGAGACAAGAAACGCTGTATCTTCCGTGCACGGGACACAGTCAACTTGTCTTCTTCAGAAAGTTCATCCATACCTAGGATGGCAATGATGTCCTGGAGAGATTTGTAGTCCTATAAGAAAATAAGAGAGCCCCGAGTAAATATTCATTCCTTTAATTTGGACAAAAACCTAAGGGTTAATATCACCTACCTTACATTCACACCAAACTTTGTAGAAAGCCTTTTAGCACCTTACCTCACTTTATAAGTGAAACAAGTTAGTGGAGTTAAAGTTAATTACTCAGGTGGTCACAAGGCCCTCAGTTAAGATCAGTTTCTTCTCCCTACTCCTAGTCTGGTGCGGTTAAATAAAACTGAATTCCAAAAACCCAAGTACCTGGAAACCCAAGAGACCTCATTAATATGCACTAGAAACTGCTGGTCTCATCTTTCCTTGCTCTAAAGCAAATCACACAAATCAGGAAAGATCTGGTCCTAATATAGTCCCCAAATTCCCTCTGTAGGGTTTTATGGACACCAATCTCACCTGCAATAATACTCACCTGTAGGATCTTTTGTACCCCACGGGCAACATCATAATGCTCATTGCCAACAATGTTGGGATCCATGATGCGAGAGGTGGAGTCTAGAGGATCCACAGCTGGATAGATGCCCAGTTCAGCAATAGCACGGGACAACACAGTGGTAGCATCCAAATGGGCAAAGGTAGTGGCAGGGGCAGGGTCAGTCAAGTCATCAGCAGGCACATAGATAGCCTAAAGTGAGTCAAGAAATTATGAGGTGCAAGAGGAAGCCAAGTAATGCTTCTTAACCCACCCCCCTTTCTGACCTCTCCTCATTATCTCACTACATCTTAGCATTCAAAGTCCACCTCAAAAGTACCTTCTTACTAGCCCTAATAGCTGCTGAGTGAGTTTATAGATTTGGTTCCTCCACGCTGTGATGAAAGAATTTTCAATGTCAATGTAGAATAACATTGTAAAATGTAAAAACAATGTAAAATGTAGAAACCTTTTAACTCTATTGCAGTGATACCCACTTTTAAAGTTAAAAACAAAAAACCTTGTACTACAATAGTTCACTAGGATTATGAATCATGAAAGTTGCTATAAAATTTAAACACATTTTTAGATAATTTTACTATATACCATCAATAAACATTCAAAAATTTGCAGATTAGGGCAATACATATTTAACGCTCAATTTCCATTTAGCTCCAGACTCCCCCTCAGGCTGGAAACTAGTAGTCTGTGATCTACATTTACATGTACACCTTCAATTACTTTAGATGAATGTTTAACCTATTAGGGTCTTTAACATGCACACACAAAATTTTACCCATTATTTCAGGGAGCTCATGAACCCAGTTAAAAGCCTTTTGAGATGTAAGTAACTAGGTTTTATACCTCTCTGTACATGCCTTTATACAAATTAGACCTTCATCCATTTAGTTGTTCTTACCTGTACAGAGGTGATGGATCCCTTCTTGGTGGTGGTGATTCTTTCCTGCATGGTACCCATGTCAGTGGCCAGGGTAGGCTGATAGCCCACAGCAGAAGGGATTCTGCCCAATAAAGCAGACACCTAAAAAGAAAAAAAAAAGTATGTACAAAAGGTCTTATGTGTTTTAGCCTCATCTGGTCAAATGAACCAGGTCCTCTAAAGCTTTCTTACCTCTGAGCCAGCCTGAGTGAAGCGAAAGATGTTATCGATAAACAGCAGAACATCCTGACCTTCTTGGTCTCTGAAGTATTCAGCCACAGTCAGTCCAGTCAGAGCTACCCGGGCACGAGCACCAGGTGGTTCATTCATTTGGCCGTACACCAGTGCTACCTGCAGTAATCACGCACAATGAGTAAACCTGGCAGAGGAGTATGGAGGCCATATACCAAAGGTCCCCAAATCAGCAAACTTATGAATAAAACCCTCCTTCTCAGAAGGTGTTAACGTTTTTGTGTGCAAATTTCATTTCCCTTTTGAGATCTAGTTCAAAACAACACAAAAGATAATTTTTTGTATTACTGAGGTAAAATTCTGTAAATTACTAAGGTAGTGGGAAGGAAATAAACTCTAAGTGAAAAAGCACAAAATGGGGTTATCTGAGACATATGAACCACCTCCAACTCTCCCCAAAATTAGCTTCAAATGATGTGACTATCTACCAAGTCTGGAAATGTAATCTAATGTCAAAGAGGAAAGAAAATGTGTATTAGTGTATTAGAAACTGGGGGGAAAGGCTGACAGGAATTTCCTTTGTAGGTCATGGGACACTAAAACAAAAAAAAACCCATGGTTTCAGCTAGCAATGCAGTCAGCTGCAACAATTTCCTGGCATACCTACTATGTGGACATCAATCAGTTTAGTGCTCACCTTGGAGGTAGCATCTTTTAAGTTGATAACACCAGACTCGATCATTTCATGGTATAAATCATTGCCCTCACGGGTTCTCTCACCAACACCAGCAAACACAGAGTAACCACCATGGGCTTTGGCGACATTGTTGATTAACTCCATGATCAGTACAGTCTTGCCGA